TCTAGAGCAGAGTCAGAGCTGCGGACGTCCCATGAGCGGGCTGCAAAGCTGGAGGTCGAGCTATGTATAGCTTGGAAAAGGGCTGTCGTGGTAGAGGCTTATAAGGTGACTACCTGCGCGATAGCAGAGTCATAGTTGCAAACGTCTCGTGAGAGGGCCGAAGGAGCTGAGGCCGAGCTACGTATAGCTCAGGGAGATGACTACCGTGGTAGAGGCTTATAAGGAGACTACTTGCGTGAGAGCAGAGTCATAGTTGTAAACATCCCGTGAGAGGGTCGTAGAAGCTGAGGTCGAGCTACGTATAACTCGGGAGATGGTTGTCGTGGCAGAGGCTTAAAAGGAGACTACCTGCACGAGAGTAAAGTCATAGCTACAAACGTCCCATGAGAGGGCCGTAGAAGCTGAGGCCAAGCTACGTTTAACCCGGGAGATGACTGTCGTGGCAGAGGCTTATAAGGAGAGTCCTTGAGCGAGAATAGAGTCATAGCTACAAACATTCCGTAAGAGAGCCGCAGGAGCTGAGGCCGAGCTATAGTCTCGGGAGATAGCTATCGTAATAGAGGCTTGTAAGGAGACTACTTGCGTGAAAGTAGAGTCATAGTTGCAAACGTCTTGTGAGAAAGTTGCATGAGCTGAGGCCGAACTACGTATTATCTTGGGAGATAGCCGTCGTGGCAGAGACTTATAAGGAGACTACTTGCGTGAGAGCAAAGTCATAGCTGCAAACGTCCCGTGAGAAGGCCGCAAGAGTTAAGACCGAGCTACGTATAATCTCGGAAGATGGCTGTCGTGTCAGAAACTTGTTAGAAAACTATCTACGCGAGAGCAGAGTCATAACTGCAAACGTCTCGTGAGAGAGCCGCCGAAGCTGAGGCCGAGCTACATATAGCTTGGGAGATGGTTGTCGTGGCCGAAGATCATTCCAATAAAATGGAGATGAGGAAGGAGGTTGTTGAGACAGCTTGACAACTTTCCTTACTATTGAGTTCTCTTATTTCGTCCCATATGAGGCATCAAGGGTAGATGGTGACGGGGGAGAGCCTCGATAATAGTAATTTAGAGAGCAGTGATTGATCGTCGGGTGTTTGACAACTTTTATCTTTTTGTCTACCTTGTTGTTTGGTCTATGTTACGACTTTGTAAGCTGTTTATAAACTTTATGAAAATAAGATAATTTTAGACACAATAATTTTCGTAAAATTTTATAAAATAATAAATAACAAAATTAATCAATTGAAGCAATAAATGAGAGAAACTAGTACAAATTGGTGAAAGAAGTTACTCATAGAAGGACTCTAGACTTTGATTTCCATTATGACAATAGCATCCACATTATGATTAGTGATCAGTTCAGTAAAAGCTCTTCTGAACCGGAGATTCCCTGCACCCCTACAATTCCAGGACATAATCTTCGTGGAGAACGTATTCATTAAAAAAAGGAGGGTGGAAATTAGACATCCATAGTAGAGTTCTCCATGCTTCCTCCCTTTGAGTTAACATGGAGGTTCTGCTCCCGAATCATCTTTAATGAGGATATTAAGATGATAATTTTATATAAATTCGATGGCAAATCAACCAATGAAAATGGACTAATTATTGATGCAATCTCGACTAACATAACGAGACTCCGGTAACACAAATAATTAATAAATCAAATTAATATTAAAAATAAATTACTCGATTTTAATGCAAGTTATTTTCTCTTGGGAAAATTTCAACGACACCCCCTCTAATTTCTGCATTTTCAATGACATCCATTCTAGTTTAATTTAAACATCACTAACCACCCTTACCATTAAACTATCATTTCTAACAAAAAAATTTATCTAAAATACCAAAAATATCCCTACATAACCTCGCATAATTTTTCTACATAAAATTTTATTAAAATTCGATTGTTAAATTTTTTTTAAAAAAATCGTAAATAATTTGTTAGTAAATACTAATTTGTAAATTTAAAAAAAAAAAATCAATCNTAATTTGTTAGTAAATACTAATTTGTTATTTACTAATTTGTAAATTTAAAAAAAAAATCAATTNTGGCCGAAGATCATTCCAATAAAATGGAGATGAGGAAGGAGGTTGTTGAGACAGCTTGACAACTTTCCTTACTATTGAGTTCTCTTATTTCGTCCCATATTAGGCATCAAGGGTAGATGGTGACGGGGGAGAGCCTCGATAATAGTAATTTAGAGAGCAGTGATTGATCGTCGGGTGTTTGACAACTTTTATCTTTTTGTCTACCTTGTTGTTTGGTCTATGTTACGACTTTGTAAGCTGTTTATAAACTTTATGAAAATAAGATAATTTTAGACACAATAATTTTCGTAAAATTTTATAAAATAATAAATAACAAAATTAATCAATTGAAGCAATAAATGAGAGAAACTAGTACAAATTGGTGAAAGAAGTTACTCATAGAAGGACTCTAGACTTTGATTTCCATTATGACAATAGCATCCACATTATGATTAGTGATCAGTTCAGTAAAAGCTCTTCTGAACCGGAGATTCCGTGCACCCCTACAATTCCAGGACATAATCTTCGTGGAGAACGTATTCATTAAAAAAAGGAGGGTGGAAATTAGACATCCATAGTAGAGTTCTCCATGCTTCCTCCCTTTGAGTTAACATGGAGGTTCTGCTCCCGAATCATCTTTAATCAGGATATTAAGATGATAATTTTATATAAATTCGATGGCAAATCAACCAATGAAAATGGACTAATTATTGATGCAATCTCGACTAACATAACGAGACTCCGGTAACACAAATAATTAATAAATCAAATTAATATTAAAAATAAATTACTCGATTTTAATGCAAGTTATTTTCTCTTGGGAAAATTTCAACGACACCCCCTCTAATTTCTGCATTTTCAATGACATCCATTCTAGTTTAATTTAAACATCACTAACCACCCTTACCATTAAACTATCATTTCTAACAAAAAAATTTATCTAAAATACCAAAAATATCCCTACATAACCTCGCATAATTTTTCTACATAAAATTTTATTAAAATTCGATTGTTAAATTTTTTTTAAAAAAATCGTAAATAATTTGTTAGTAAATACTAATTTGTTATTTACTAATTTGTAAATTTAAAAAAAAAATCAATTGTATTAAAATTTATTTTTTACATATTAAAATTTGAGTCGATTTGAATTCTATCCGAGTTGTTAGCGCTGATTAAAATTCTCTTTCGAGTCGATTAAAATTTATATTTTTTTACTTATTAAAATTCGTGTCAATTAAAAATCGATTTATTAAAATTTAAGTCAATTAAAATTCATATATTTTTATATATTAAAATTTAGACTGATTAAAATTCAATGCAAATTAATTAAAATTTGATTTGAGTCGATTAAAAATAATTTTTAATTGGCTCAAACAAAATTTTAATTAGCTTAAATTTTAATATGTAAAAAAAATAAATTTTAATTAACTTGAATCGAATTTTAATTGGTTTGAATTTAATTACATAAGAAAAATTAGAAAACAGATGGGGTTTTATTAAAAATATGTTTATTTAGAAGGGATGTGGATGCAATTTGTCCCAAAATATCTCATAGGCAATTTAGTAAAATTGTATTCTACTTAATATTTTTAATTTGACAAGATTGTCATTGAAGATTCAAAAATTAAAGGAGATATCCTTAAAGATATAATAAATTAGAGGGAGTGTGGTTAAAATTTTCTCTTTTCTCTTTAATTCTGGTCACATTGAACTTTATTGAACCGTTAAGTTATTGACGGAATGATACCCTCTTAAAGACGTGATATCATAAAAAAAAAATATATAGTTATTTTTGTCAATTTTTTANGAGTCGATTAAAAATAATTTTTAATTGGCTCAAACAAAATTTTAATTAGCCTAAATTTTAATATGTAAAAAAATAAATTTTAATTAGCTTGAATCGAATTTTAATTGGTTTGAATTTAATTACATAAGAAAAATTAGAAAACAGAGGGGATTTTATTGAAAATATGTTTATTTAGAAGGGATGTGGATGAAGTTTGTCCCAAAATATCTCATAGGCAATTTAGTAAAATTGTATTCTACTTAATATTTTTAATTTGACAAGGTTGTCATTGAAGATTCAAAAATAAGAGGAGATATCCTTAAAGATATAATAAATTAAAGGGAGTGTAGTTAAAATTTTCTCTTTTCTCTTTAATTCTGGTCACATTGATCTTTACTGAACCGTTAAGTTATTGACGGAATGACATTCTCTTAAAGACGTGATATTATAAAAAAATAATATATAGTTATTTTTGTCAATTTTTTATTTTTATCGATCCACGTGTATAGAAAACGAAAGTGAAAAGTGACGCGAATTGAATGCTAGTAACTCATATTTTTAGACAAAGAAACGCAAGAGGATGAATCAGAGATGTGCCGACTATGCTAGTTTTCTNAATTAGAGGGAGTGTGGTTAAAATTTTCTCTTTTCTCTTTAATTCTGGTCACATTGAACTTTATTGAACCGTTAAGTTATTGACGGAATGATACCCTCTTAAAGACGTGATATCATAAAAAAAAAATATATAGTTATTTTTGTCAATTTTTTATTTTTATCGATCCACGTGTATAGAAAACGAAAGTGAAAAGTGACGCGAATTGAATGCTAGTAACTCATATTTTTAGACAAAGAAACGCAAGAGGATGAATCAGAGATGTGCCGACTTTTCGNTGACGCGAATTGAATGCTAGTAACTCATATTTTTAGACAAAGAAACGCAAGAGGATGAATCAGAGATGTGCCGACTATGCTAGTTTTCTGATGTTTTGTTTTTCACATTAAACATGTTTTCCATGAAGCAAGGGGGAGAAAGAGAGCGGTTCTTGGTGGCTTACCATTCTTTCGCTAGCCTGAATCCAAAGTTTCCAAACACTCTACACGTTAAAGTCTTCAGCTGCCTAAGTTTGTGTGTGGACTCGGATATGATTGAACCATTCTTAAATCTCAATTCTAAGTTCCTTCAACTTTTGCAGCAATGCCCACTCTAAAACCTCCATTACACTTACTTTCTGGAAAGCCGCCATTGCACTTTCACATGCTTTTGAATAAGCACGCGCCTTCTATCTTCAAAGCACACGACACTATATCATCCTCTGCTGAAGGTACCATCAAGGTCTTGAAAATATTAGCTGACACCAAAAACTTGAAACTTGGGAAAGTAATACATGCTCAGTTGGTTATAGCTAATCAAGCTTCTCAAGACCATGTAATCCAAAACACTTCCCTGATCAATCTTTATTCAAAATGTGGTCAAATTACAATTGCTCGCCAGTTGTTTGATGGAATGCGCAGACGGAATGTTGTTTCATGGTGTGCTTTAATGGTGGGGTATTTCCATCATGGGTTTGCTTTAGAAGTTCTTAAGTTGTTCAAAACTCTGGTTTCAGTGGATAATTTGTGTCCGAATGAGTATATATTGACGACAGTTCTTTCATCTTGTTCTGACAGTGGGTTGCTTAAAGAAGGCAAGCAATGTCATGGGTACGTGCTGAAGTCTGGATTGGTGTTTCATCAGTATGTGAAGAATGCACTAGTGTGCATGTACTCGATGTGTTTGGATGTGAAAGAGGCTATGAGGATTTTAAATTCAGCTCCTGGATCAGATTTATTTACTTATAACTGCATTTTGCATGGGCTTTTAAATCATGATCATTTGACTGTAGCATTGGATGTTTTGAACAGAATGTTGGTTGAGTGCGTGGAGTGGGACAGCGTCACTTATGTTAGTGTTTTTAGCCTTTGTGCACGTCTTAAAGATTTGAAACTGGGTTTGCAAGTACACAACAGGATGTTGAGGACTAATGTCGAGTGTGATTTGTATGTTAGTAGTGCAATCATAGACATGTATGGCAAATGCAGTGAGATTTCATTGACAAGAAAAGTTTTTGATGGGTTGCAAACTCGAAATGTGGTCTCATGGACAGCAATCTTAGCTGCTTACTTGCAAAACGAGTGCTTTGAGGAAGCATTGAAACTATTTTCAGATATGGAACTTGAAGAAATTAAACCGAATGAGATTACGTTTGCCGTGCTGTTGAACTCCAGTGCTGGTTTGTCAGCACTGGGATGCGGAAATTCACTACATGCACGTGCTGAGAAGTCAGGGTTTAAAGATTATGTAACGGTGGGGAACGCTTTGATCAATATGTATTCCAAGAATGGCAACATCGAAGCTGCAAATGAAGTGTTCTCTGATATGAGGTATCGAGACTCCATTACATGGAATTCAATGATATCTGGTTACTCTCGGCACGGGCTTGGTAAGGAAGCCTTGACAGTGTTTCATGATATGTTAGCTAAAAAAGAGCAACCTAATTATGTAACTTTTGTTGGGGTTCTCTCTGCTTGTGGACACTTGGGTCGAGTACAAGAAGGTTTCTATTATCTGCATCAGCTAATGAAACAGATGAATATAGAACCTGGATTGGAGCACTATACCTGTATTGTTGGGCTTCTGAGTAAAGCCGGTTTACTTGATGAAGCTGAATATTTCATGAGGTCTACACCAATTCAATGGGATGTTGTTGCCTGGCGTACTTTGCTTAGTGCTTGCCATGTCTACCGGAACTATGGTACAGGAAAGCGAGTTGCCGATGTTGTGTTGCATATGGACCCCAATGATGTGGGAACCTATGTCCTGTTGTCCAATATGCATGCCAAGGCTAAGAGGTGGGATGGGGTTGCAAAAATTCGTAAGTTAATTAGAGAAAGGAACATAAAGAAAGAACCTGGACTGAGCTGGACAGAAATAAGAAACGATACCCACGTCTTTGTTTCAGATGACAATAACCACCCAGAGTTTGTTCAGATTCACGAGAAGGTGAGAGAATTGTTGGCCAAGATTAAACTATTGGGGTATGTGCCTGATTTTGCATCAGTAACACATGATGTGGAGGAGGAACAGAAAGAAGATTATCTTAGTTATCACAGTGAGAAGCTGGCCATAGCCTATGCCCTCATAAAAACACCTACAGAAGCACCGGTTCGTGTATTTAAAAACCTGAGAATGTGTGATGATTGCCACTCTGCTGTGAAACTTATCTCTAAGGTTACTGACCGAGTGATAATTGTAAGAGATGTCAATCGTTTCCATTGTTTTCAAGAAGGATGGTGTTCCTGTGCAGATTATTGGTGACTAATTTCACAGCTTTGTCTTATAATGGTTAACTGGAGGAGAAAAATAGCATGTCTCATAGCACAGAGGTTACTTGCACCGACTTAATCTCATATTGCTCAGATTATAAGCTTGTTTTGTAAAGATCCACATATGCAAGGTTTTCAAATATGATCTTCTGCAAATGATTTTTTTGTCTTTTCTATTTCATTTTCTTGTTTAGAATATAATTTAATTTATGCTTTTCAGATCAGTCTAGCATTTCCTATTCTGGGGGATACAATCAAGAGCCTTTTGATAATAGTGATGCCAGAGGTAAAGAACTTGTGCTGCTTTCACAAAGAAAGAATTCAAAATTCAGTGAGGAACTACTTCTAAGAGGAAATAGGTACAATTTTTTTTGGTCTAAAATTTTTTTGCTCCATTTTATGTTCTTTAATCTGTTTTATTTATAATTTATAGTCACCATATAAGGTGATGGAATATTTTCGGGTTTTGTATTAAGTCGTTGATGATTGTGTTAATGAATTGTTAGAATTTTGCAGTTCACTATGTGGGTACTTTACTTAATGGAACCTAGTTTGTTCGAGCCATGGGAGTCCTGTTCAGATCCAACTGTGCCCAGGGTAAATATTCTGCTCACTGGGTTTGCATAAATGTTTGCAATTGGCTCTTGCAATTGAAAGAGATTGCCCCTCCACTTTATGTTATACATATATATATATATATATTTTGAACTTTCCCGCCGGACCACTAGACTTGAATCTTTGCCAGTATACCTAATTCCTGATTCATCCCTGCTGTTCGTATTTCACCGTCTAAATTGTTGTAATTTTTGGTGGTGTTGTTTTTTACTGAATATACGAGTCAACCATCTTTGGATATACGAGTTCNGCCGGACCACTAGACTTGAATCTTTGCCAGTATACCTAATTCCTGATTCATCCCTGCTGTTCGTATTTCACCGTCTAAATTGTTGTAATTTTTGGTGGTGTTTTTTTTTACTGAATATACGAGTCAACCATCTTTGGATATACGAGTTCGAAAACTGCTGTGAGTTCTAAGTTAAAATCTTCTCATGCAGTGTCCAATTTGACAGAATGCTTGTTACTACTTTATATGAATGGTTGACTGACATTTTTGTGATTCCTGCAATATTATTGTTAAGGTCGTATTTTAGAATTCTGTCTTGGAACTTAATTTGGATTGTACTATACAGATCTAATCAAACAAATTTGAAAAATCTCTCTTAGATTTTCCTCGGAGCCGGAATCCCAAATCCAACTATGTAGTTTGGACAAAGACGTTTCTTGTTTTGACGAATTGTGGTGTACAGAGCGTATAAAGAGAGAGGAGGAAGAATTAAATAATGTCATTACGTAGATATGTCTAGAATTGATATGTAACTGCTCCAAAAAATAGCGAAGCAACTGAAGCCAATGGTTGCTCTAAGTATTTGGTGTATTGCTTGACCAACTTATACATATTAGTCTATCACCTCCTATGTTGGATAGTAAGTTCTACACTATTTCCATTAGACCAACAATGCTTTATAGTGCAGAATCGTAGAATGTTGCGAATTAAGAAACATGTTCACAATGTAAGTGTGGCTGAACTATGATTGTTAAGGATGATGTGTGATAAACATGAAAGGATAGAAGTAGGAATAGTATCTTCAGGAAATGGTAAAAATAATACCAACAAGAGATCAATTAAATGATAATTAACTGAGATGATTTGGGACATATTTATGGAAAAACTATCCTGCATCAGAGAGGAGCAGTGATGTGGTACCCCTATTGATGGTAATCTGAGGGATATAGCTAGACTAATTAACTCTGAGAGTGCATTAACTAGAGTTCACTTGCCTTCCATTTTTATTTCTCTACTTGAGTTATTTGGAGATTGACTTGGACAATTAATTAAGGACATTTAGTTAAGTTACTNGTTCACTTGCCTTCCATTTTTATTTCTCTACTTGAGTTATTTGGAGATTGACTTGGAGAATTAATTAAGGATAATGAAATATATTGTTACCTCCCTGACAATTAAATTGTATTTGCACAGTAAACCAAAAGTCATTAGCCGCAGCTGGTGCTCTTATCACTTCTTATCATTTTTCATTTAGCTGACAAAGTAACTATGAACATGACATAGGCCAGCTGTTTTGCGTTGATCATGTCTACCCTATTAGAAAATAAAAAGCAGGAAGAAAGAAAAAGAAAATAATAACCAATATTGCTTGCAAGCAAGCTGCCTTTCATATTCATNTGACAAAGTAACTATGAACATGACATAGGCCAGCTGTTTTGCGTTGATCATGTCTACCCTATTAGAAAAGAAAAAGCAGGAAGAAAGAAAAAGAAAATAATAACCAATATTGCTTGCAAGCAAGCTGCCTTTCATATTCATGATTAGATGAGTCTTTGCCAGTCTCCATAAGTAGTGCTAGTAGATTTTTGACTTTTGAGCAACCAATCCCCAGGTTGGCAGCTTTTTATATGTTAATTTTTTTGGAAGAATAATTAGAACATGTTAAAAAAGTGCAATTTCTTACCTGACCATACAAGTCACTGACTATAATCAAAATTGTATGTTCAAATGACTAGTTTGACCGGAATGCTGATAGGATAATACACGCAAGAGAAGGAAGTTTAGTGCTTGCCGAATATTAAACAAGGATTATCAAATATTCAAGGACTGAATGCATATCCCGTGGACATGAAAATGAAGAGGAAATTATACTGAAGCGATGATATATCAATTTGGGTCTTTCTAGCTCTCCGCTGGAGTCAATTGATGTGCTGGTTGCGTGATATTTCTAGATTCTCTACTCATTGTGGAGCATATACTCATTCTGCAGTGCATTGGCAAGGAAAACCAAGTTCTAAAGATGCATGGGTCTGAAGCAAAAAACTTTAGAAGCTGAATTATATGCTTTGGGAGGGTTTGACTTCAAACTCGAGGTCGAATGCTTCTCAAACAGGAGAGAATGATGTAGGATAATAGCTTCAGCTTGTTTGGCAACTATGTGGGCATGCCACTTAATTTATGTGTCCAGTTTTTATTTTTGTCGTTAATTTCTGGTCAAAAGTATTAATAATGTGTTTTTGATTATAGTTGTAGCCTAGTTATCTGTTGCTTGGAAATTGTGCTCTGAAAGTCTAGAAAGTTGTAATGCTCAAAAGTTGTCTAGATTAACTATAAGTCTTTACTCATGAAGTCTTATAGTTGTGAATGATTATCCGTGAGAAATGAGAGCAAGCATAAAGTGGTTTTGATTGGGAAAATCGTTTGAAAGTTTGTATTGCTTTGTAGTTAAGTGATTCCTCCCAACAATCTTGGCTTGGTTGCATTGTGTGGCATTCACAACTTTGGAGTTTAAGGCCATTTGCTTCGCGCCAATGTTTTGACTATCCCATTTTCTTTGAAGGTTTCAGTCTGGATCAAATGGGTCGACAGATTGCCGAATGCCCTTTGAATATGAGATTAAAATGGGCACATTCAGCCATCGGTGCCATGGTAATGGTGGTGACGACAACATCAGTGTGTTTCAATGGTGGCATTAGGACTATCAGTATGCCAGGGAAGCTTGAAGCCTGTCCATTCTGCCTGCAAAAACTTGGCTCGAGTTTCGTGTGAGTTCTTCCCAGACCGGGTTTGAGCTTTTTCTACTCCCAATTCGAGTTTGGGTTGAGTCTTAGCAATATCTGGCTCAACAAGAAAAGTTTTGGATAGTCTGGTAACTAATACCACGTAAGTATTCTAATTCATACTTAAGTGAGGTTTAAACTAATATTGTGTAATTAATGCAAGCAAATTGATTCACTATGGAAAAAAATTTTGTTGTCATATAATTTTGGGTTAATCGCAAATTGGACTCCGAAAAATAGTTCGAATTTCAATTTGCACATTTAAAGATAAAAAATTTCAATTTGTACCCTCAAAGATATAAATTGGTATCAATACGCACTTAAAGTTAATAACCGTCAGTTTGTCATCTAAAACTAAATGGATAAATTATATTTAGACCTTCTTATGTTTGTCACTTAATCACCTAAATCCCTCATATTTGAAATATTACACGTATATTCCTTGAGAATCTAAATATGATTAAAAATATTTCCCTAATTGGACATCCAAATAATTTTCTTCAAGTGATGTATTGCATTGGATATAAAAATATTATATAAATACATGCATTATATTAGGCATTCAAATGGTAAATTTGATTCAAGAGGTGTATAAGTAATATTTTAAATGTGAGGAGGTTTAAATGATTAAATGACAAATTTGAGTGGGTCTAGGTGTAACTTATTCAACTAATTTTAGACGGCAAACAGTTGTTAGTTTCAAGTACGTATTGATACAAATTTATATATTTGAGAATGCAAATTAAAATTTTTATTTTTGATGATGCAAATTAAAATTCAAGAAATATTTTAAGGTATAAATTGTGATTAACCCTATAATTTTAGCATTAGATCAACTTTCAATTTCTCGTTTAATATAATTATACTAGTCATTGTCCGTGCCTAAATGCACTATATTACTCATAAAATTTTAACACACAACGATAGGATGTTTGAATAATTTCAAAACATAGAGATTAGATTGGTTTTGAACATTTTTTATTAGTGCAATTGGTATCTTATTTTTTTTGTATTGGTCACCTATTTTTTTTAATTGCTGTTTAACTTGGGCTTCGGATTTTTTTTTCATTTTCTGATAACTATAGGTTTTCATGCAGTAGTGATCTATTTTTAATATGAATAATAAATTGATGATTTTATTTATGGATTATATAGACAATTTAAATTTCATTGATTGATAAGAAGTAATAAGTAAACATCAACCACTGATATTAAGATGCGTGATAAGAAGATCTACTTACGGTGTACTCTAGATATGAATCAATTTGTAATAAAAAGNTTTATGGATTATATAGACAATTTAAATTTCATTGATTGATAAGAAGTAATAAGTAAATATCAACCACTGATATTAAGATGCGTGATAAGAAGATCTACTTACGGTGTACTCTAAATATGAATCAATTTGTAATAAAAAGGATAAAAAATTATATAATAACTATATAATGATTTTTAATGAAATATTATACCAAAGATTTTGAAAAAATCGATATACCAAATAACTTACATGTCAAAAAATGGTGATATTGTCTATTTGGGTACTGATTTTTGTATTGTAGTGATAATGTGTATGAGGTTATTGAGGTCAAACGTAATTTGACAAACTTTGAAAAAAAAACACTAAACTTATAGATATTATATATTTTATGTGTGTTTAATAGAAATATTTTTAATTTTATACAAAATTTTATCGTAAAATTATAAGTTAAACAAAATCAACCTAAATTAAGGTACAAATAATACACTTTTAATATATAATATTTAACAACAATCGGTTAATGACAATATATCTACAACTAAACCACACAAATATTAAAAATTAAAAACNCTAAACTTATAGATATTATATATTTTATGTGTGTTTAATAGAAATATTTTTAATTTTATACAAAATTTTATCGTAAAATTATAAGTTAAACAAAATCAACCTAAATTAAGGTACAAATAATACACTTTTAATATATAATATTTAACAACAATCAGTTAATGACAATATATCTACAACTAAACCACACAAATATTAAAAATTAAAAACAACAAACTATTGTCAAAGTATACACTACTAAACTAATTCGAAAAAATCATCAATATTCATAAATATGCATAAATGTTAAATATTTGTTAACTGCACAGTTATAAAAATTAAACATAAAATATTTAATAACTACCCAGTTATAAAAATTGAATAAAAAAAAATAATCAACATGAAATAATGAGATGCTTTGCCAATAACAAAATTTGTAATAGATATTCTTTTAACTAATCATTTATGACAAACAACAATATGTTTTGTTCCCTTTTAATAAAAATTAATTTTTTGAGAACGATAAATTTTCATGTAATTTTGAGCAAAATGGTGATTAGGTATGAATAATTGTTCGAAGGNATAAAAAAAAAATAATCAACATGAAATAATGAGATGCTTTGCCAATAACAAAATTTGTAATAGATATTCTTTTAACTAATCATTTATGACAAATAACAATATGTTTTGTTCACTTTTAATAAAAATTAATTTTTTGAGAACTATAAATTTTCATGTAATTTTGAGCAAAATGGTGATTAGGTATGAATAATTGTTCGAAGATTTTACTTATGGATTGGATATTTGTATTTTTTGTTTGTGTGAAAGTGGTGATGATAATTAGATTGGTTTGGAATTTGTTTTTTTGGTGCAATTGGTAATACTTGTTATTTTTTACTGGTAACTTATTTTTTTTATTAGTGATTATATTGGGTTTTGTCTTTTTTTTGTCTTTTTTGAGAACTACAGGTTTTCATATATTAGTAATTTATTTTGGTATAAATAATAATTTTATGATTTTATTTATGGATTGTATATTTATATTTTTTATTTACGTGGAAGTGATGATATTGATTAGATTGATTTTGAATCTAGCTACTTTATTATATATCTATAGGAGTGTTAGAGTCTAATTATGATCGTCGGATCAATAATACTGAATTGATTTGAACCGTCTTTTATATTGAGATTACATTATATGTTGGATGTGTTTATATTTTGACTTAAAATGATCTAAACCTCTCTTTATCTTTTGCATTCAAACTTTGTTCTATTTTATTATATAAACTAGTCATAACTCGTGCCTGAAGGCATGATAGAACAAAAAATTCAAGTCCTAAAAAATCGATATCATTATATTAAATAATATTTTTTTTCTTTCATTTGTTTGATTAAATCATTCAAAATTTATTTTTTCCCATTATTTTCTTAAAGATATTAACAAAATTTTCTTAAAATATGTAATTTGATAAATTTTTTAACAGATATACACTATCGTGTATGGATAATATTTGAAATAAAAATTATGTTAAATTACAAATTAATCAAATATTAAAATGGTTGAGCATGCGATAGTGATGTGATGATNTAAAAATTATGTTAAATTACAAATTAATCAAATATTAAATGGTTGAGCATGCGATAGTGATGTGATGATTTTTGGAGGATGAAAAATGTATATGAGATAAAATTCAACTTCCTGTGTGTTTTATTATATAGATTTGTATAAATATAAGAGAAAATTTCATTCAGATCCCCTGTAGTTAGGTCTAAATTCAATGTCACCTACTTCCGTTTTTAAAATTTCACTGTCACTCCCTGTTAGTAATTGTCAGGTTACACCGTTAATGTCGATGATTGATTTATAGAAATATCTCCGAGTATTTTATAGGGTAAATTTTATCCGCACTCCTTATAAATAAAACTAACTTTAATAACACTCCCGGTAAATAGACCTAACTTTAACAACACTTCTTTTTGATTCTGAAATTTCAATACACTCCCTTTTAGTTATATTATATTAGCATTTATTTTGATCAATTTAATATTCAATTTTATCAACNTTTCAATACACTCCCTTTTAGTTATATTATATTAGCATTTATTTTGATCAATTTAATTTTCAATTTTATCAAATTAATTTTCTTTATTTAACTTAAACTAAATTAACATTTCATCTCATCAAAACAACATAAAATTGATATTTAATTTTATCAAATTAGCATTTAGTTATATTAATTTAATATTTCATTTCATCAAATTAATTTTATTTCTTTAATTTAATATTAAGTTATTATTTATTTTTATCAAATCAACATCAAATTGAAATTCAATTTTATTAAATTAAACTATTTAATTTGTAAAATAGAATATTAAATTCCATTAATTTTAAATTTAACCTTATCAAATTAATGTCATTTCTTTAATTTAACATCAAATGAACATTTAGTTTTATTAAAACAACATTCAAATTATCATTAAATTCAATAAAATTAATACTAAATTAATATTTAATTTTATCAAATTAAAACTAAATTAATATTTAAAGTTATCAAAATTAAGATCAAATTTATTCAATTAATATTAAATTTTGTCAAATAATTTTAAATTTTATATATGAAGTATGATGTGTGAGGAGCGGTCGGACGACGTTGTGGAAGACATATGATAGCAGAGGAATTAGAAATGGATGAAATTTTGGCATTGACTTTATCAATTGTAATTTTTATTACATAAAATTTATTTTTAACTATAAAAATTATTATGATAAAAAAATATAAAAATTTGATTATGTAACCAAATGAGTGATAATATGATGACTAATATTATAACAAAGTTATAATACAACGTTTTAAAATAAAAAAAATTCATTAGGTTAATATAATGATTGAAATTATATTTGTTGGCTGACTAATGCATATATAATGGGAAAAAAATTGATGACATTTTTGTCTATTTACATAATAAAGAGTTTTAGTCTGTTGGCAGAGACAAAAGTTATTATTATAGGGGTTCTCATTGAATTTAGACTCAACTATATAGTGTTTAGATGAAACTTTTTCTAAGATATAACATGTAAATATAGTATGTCTTCGATCTTTGTACTATATATATGTACAGTAAAGATGTGTGTGTAATATGAACAGTAAAGATGGAGAGCAGCTGCATTATAATAGAATTTTGGAGAGATATGTGTCTTAGTTTGGAAAGAGAATCATGAAATATGAGAGTGTGAGGGACAATCAATATAGGAAATAAAATTAGGGAAATAATGATAAGAGTTGTAATCTGTATTTTAGGGAGAGAGAGACAGAGTTGAGGAATGAGAGATCGTTTAATTGTCGGATTTAATTGGGTTGAGAAATTAAATTTAGGGATGTTAGTTTTAGAAACTAAAAGTTTTGAGCGGCAAAAATTTTCAAGAGCTAATATGATATGTCGGATTGAAACGATATGAGACGTCAATAGTTCGAGACAGTTTGGAATAACGTCAATCGTTGAATGATATCCTTTTTAGTCACGAAACGATCTCAATCGCTCTTTGTCTCCAAAATTCAAATTCGTTCTACTTTATTATATAGATATAAGATGATTGGTCCTGTCTCTCCTCATCATGCAACTAGGGTGGCAATTCAATATGTCGGTCAACTCAATCCGATCATAAATTAGAGAATTGGTATCTGATTTACTTTTTTGTCCCCCCGGACTATATAACCCGCTCTTTAAAAATGATAAAACGTAAAATTCGAACTCTTGAAAAATTAATTATATTATATCAAATATAATTTTTTTTAGTTTTTTTAATTATATAATTTAAAATTAATTTTTATTCACTATTTCTTTTAAAAAAATTGATAATATTTTTTTTAAAATACATGATGTTAAAAAAATATCAATACATGTACAATATTATATATGGATAATGTCTTAAATAAAAATGATATTGAGTCACAAATTAATCAAAAAATAAATGATTCAACATGTGGTAGAAATCCTATTAAAAAAAAACTAATGATAGAAATAAGTGATGTGATAGACATTATCGAAAAAAATATATAAGGATAAAATTCAAAAGTGCTAGTTATTTTTATTAAATAGATTGAATAGTATCACTGAAATTAAGTTTAACATACTTCATTGAGATCGAAGCAGTTTCAAATTCAAACCCATTGATTATTTTATTGAAAAAATGAATTATAATTTAGAATTGAACTGATGAATTTCACTTGAATAATTTACGTATATGAATAAAAAATAGATATTTATTTACTTATATGGAAAAATTAATTATTAATTTTAGTGATATTTATTTACTTATTTATTTTGATAATATTGATTAATAATATTATGACAGAATTGTCATTTGGTATAACTATTCAATGAATATTTTTTCCACAAGCTCATGCCAAACAAACGCATCCCTCCTGCAGTGTTTGGGGCACTAGCTTAGCTTGCTCGGCTTGGATTGTGGCCTTCTGGACTTACACTAAATTTGCACCAAGTAGGCATGGACACATACACCAGCCAATTAAAACTTGCCAGCATAACAGACCAATATGTTTTTTATAAATCTCATACTATGCAGTTTGTTGTTCCGAGTAGTTAATGGCATTTTGCCCCCGAAAGATCTTACTATTCTTAATTTATACCTCAAAAAATTATAATTTCTATATTACATCCTCAATCAAATAAAAATGTAGCAATATTAACAACCATATTCCTGTTGAAAAACACGTAAACTTGAGTATTCTTCAAAAAATTGGGTATAGAAAAAACATAATACGACAAATACAACAAAAAAAATGTAACAAACATTTACTTTTGGAGTACGTTATTATATTTTTATCTGATTAAGAGTGTAATATCAAAATATTAATTTTAGAACCTAGAGTGAATTTTAATCTTGATGGGTTTAAATTGTATATGGTTTTTAGAGTCGAACTTAGGGTTGTTAATAAACTGAACTATTCGAGTTTGTTTCGGGTTTAACTCGTTTTTTAAATGAGTCGAATTTAAACAATTTAGTAGGCTCGTTTGAAAAATAAGCCCGACAAACTCGGCTCAAACTCGATAGACTCGACTCGTTTATATACAAATACTTAGTTTGACTTAAGTTAAATTCGTTTTGAGCTCATTCAAGTCCGTTTAAGTTTTGCTTGTTTAAAAAACANCATACACCAGCCAATTAAAACTTGCCAGCATAACAGACCAATATGTTTTTTATAAATTTCATACTATGCAGTTTGTTGTTCCGAGTAGTTAATGGCATTTTGCCCCCGAAAGATCTTACTATTCTTAATTTATACCCCAAAAAATTATAATTTCTATATTACATCCTCAATCAAATAAAAATGTAGCAATATTAACAACCATATTCCTGTTGAAAAACACGTAAACTTGAGTATTCTTCAAAAAATTGGGTATAGAAAAAACATAATACGACAAATACAACAAAAAAAATGTAACAAACATTTACTTTTGGAGTACGTTATTATATTTTTATCTGATTAAGAGTGTAATATCAAAATATTAATTTTAGAACCTAGAGTGAATTTTAATCTTGATGGGTTTAAATTGTATATGGTTTTTAGAGTCGAACTTAGGGTTGTTAATAAACTGAACTATTCGAGTTTGATTCGGGTTTAACTCGTTTTTTAAATGAGTCGAATTTAAACAATTTAGTAGGCTCGTTTGAAAAATAAGCCCGACAAACTCGGCTAAAACTCGATCGACTCGACTCGTTTATATACAAATACTTGAGTTTGACTTAAGTTAAATTCGTTTTGAGCTCATTCAAGTCCGTTTAAGTTTTGCTTGTTTAAAAAACGAGCCAATTTAAAATAATTTTTAAAATTTAATTAAAAAAATAAAAAATTTTAAACTGGATTCGAACTGCGAACCACCTATCTGTTACAAAATCAACAAACATGTGGTAAAAAACAAGGCCCTCAATAGGTCCAGCATAAGTCCAAAAGAAAGAACATACACATGCTATCCCCCTCTGTGATCTCTCTTTGACTCCATTCCTCTCTCGCTCCCCCCCCCCCTCTCTCTCTCTCTCTCTCTCCTATTTCGGTGACCCCTCCCCTCTTTTTCCCAAAGGGGTCGCCTTCACCCCTCTTCTGAATTGAATTTGAAACCACAGAAATTCAGAAGAACTTGCAAAGATGTCGACGGAGATGGCACAGACAGACCCGGAGGGCGTGGACGTAGTCCGAATGACTTGGAACGTCTGGCCTCGCACGAAAGTGGAGGCCAGCAAGTGCGTCATCCCCATCGCAGCCTCGATCTCTCCGATCCGCCCCAACCCTGACATGCCCACGCTCCCTTACCACCCTCTCCGCTGCAAAACATGCTCTGCCATTCTCAACTCCTTTTGCCGAGTCGATTTCTCAGCCCACATATGGATCTGCCCCTTCTGCTTTCAACGCAACCATTTCCCTCCCTCTTACTCCCAAATCTCCGAAACCAACGTCCCTGCTGAACTCTACCCTCAATTCTCCACCATCGAATACCATATTGATGCTAGTGCCCAACCACAATTGGTTTCATCTCCGCCAGTTTTCGTGTTTGTCCTCGACACTTGTATGATCGAGGAGGAACTGGGTTTTGCGAAATCAGCTTTGAAAAGGGCAATTGGGTTGTTGCCGGACAATGCCATGGTGGGTTTCGTGTCGTTTGGGACCCAGGTTCAGGTTCATGAACTGGGTTTCTCGGATTTGTCCAAGGTTTATGTTTTTCGGGGGTCGAAGGAATTGTCCAAGGATCAGGTTTTGGATCAGTTGGGGCTCGGAACTATGGCTGGACGCAGGACTGGTGGGCCAGGGCAGGGCTTTCAGAAGGGGCCACAAGCTGGAGTTCTGAATTTGGGGGTTACCAGGTTCTTGTTGCCGGCTTCAGAATGTGAATATACTCTCGTTTCGGTGGGTTGTAGGAAGATTTTTTTTTTTTGTTTTTTGTGTCAATTTTGGGTTATTGGTTTGAAATTTTGATGTTGGTTTTTTGTAAATTTTCAGTTATTGGATGAGTTGAGTACGGATCAATGGCCAGTTCCGCCTGGTAATAGGGCGTTACGGTGTACTGGAGTGGCATTGAGTGTTGCAGCGGGGTTGGTTGGTGCTTGTTTGCCTGGTACTGGTGCTCGAATTGTAGCTTTAGTTGGTGGTCCATGCACGGAAGGGCCAGGCGCGGTAAGGCCTTTTTAACTAAAGTTTGCTACGCATTAATACATTATTTAATTAGTATGATTTCTCTTATTATTCTTATTGCGAATTTTTGTCATGCAAAGTTCTTATTTCGTTTGTACCGTCCATTACATTCATGATGTTCAAAGCAACTTAGTTGACACTGTTATTGGTCACTGTCCTGAATCTGGGTGANTCTCTTATTATTCTTATTGCGAATTTTTGTCATGCAAAGTTCTTATTTCGTTTGTACTGTCCATTACATTCATGATGTTCAAAGCAACTTAGTTGACACTGTTATTGGTCACTGTCCTGAATCTGGGTGGTAATGTTGGAATTTTCTATATCTATGTTGTGAACGCAGATACAACAATGAATATGGTTCGTTAGAGAACAGGGTTAAGTGTATTTAGTTTTGACATAATAACCATGTTGATATATTTATAGCATATCATCTAACATTTATTCAGAAAGGCAAGGCAAGTATTATATATTGTTGATATTGTACTAAACTTATTCTAGTAAGAATGATATCTCTAATTTCCTTGCTTGCAAACCAGGGTGACAATTGAGAGTCACAAAATATTGACAATGCTGATTTTCCGGCAAAATGATGAGGTTCTTACTTTAAGACGTATTCTGTTACTCTTGTCTGTTATCATAGTTCGGAAACTGCTAATTTTATCCCATGTAAGACACTCTTTGTCACTGGGAATAAACAAATTACAAACTTTGGAACAAGTATTGGTAGTTGGCCGAGTCTAATCACTATACAAATTCCCATACATAAAGCATACCTAGGTTCATGTAACCTAGCTTATATTTTGATGGAGCTATTAACAGTTTAGAAAAGATATGTAGAAAGATATCATGTCATAATGACGTGAAATTTTCTTCTAAACTTTCTAGATTGTAGGTCACTTGTTATTGGTCATGTGTTTTGCACACTTGGTTTATTTCTTTGTGCAGCCGAAGTTTTTTTTTTATGCTGATACCTTTTTAAACGGGTGTTGACTTCAAAGTAATTTTATTTCAATTGTTTTGGGTTCTTTGGTAGATAACTTTATTAGCGGCTTTCCTAGATGTTTAACACTAAAATCTGTTGTATGTTGTTGGATATGATTTGAGAGCTTGAACTCATTAAATTGATTCAGATGTTCTTCAATTCTATTTTTCTGGAAAGCATTAGTGGCTTTTATTTTTTTTGTTTTAAAAGTGAAAGAAATAATGACTTAAAAGTCATTATATAGCCTTGTTGGTAGGGTTAGATGATTACATTTTATTTCCTCCAATAGATATCGGGATCATAGTTACCTCCACCGTTCCACGAATCAGGGTTTTGCGACCCGAAATAGAGTGAGTTCGCAATCCAGATTGCTTAAATTCCCAACCCAAATTATAACTCCAACCTCAAAATATATATATATATATATATATATATCATCTCATATAATAGCGAAAATGATCCTATAGAAAACGAACCATGACCCAAATTAGTATACCAATTAAGTCTACCCCCATCACATCATGTATTGAAAGTTGTACCGTACAGTTCACCTGTACCTATACCACGTACCAAATCAGCCCACTTATTTGCTTTTAAATTTGTGTATTTTCTTAGGCGTGCCAGTTGGAAATGATTGTTACACGACATTGATTAAACATAGAAAGTGGGTGAAGATAGATCATCGAGTTTTTTTTCAATGAAAATCATTATTGTGACGGAGATATGAGCAAAATAGTACTTGTATCATGATTTTTATTTTCTGCTGGATAAGGAGTTGACTTTTTTCTCTGCAGATTGTATCAAAAGATCTGTCAGATCCAGTTCGCTCCCACAAAGATCTAGATAAGGATGCAGCACCATATTTTAAAAAAGCAGTCCAATTTTATGAGGAACTTGCGAAGCAGCTGGTCAGCCAGGGTCACGTGCTGGACCTTTTCGCTTCTGCCCTTGATCAGGTTTTTACTTTTTAGGCTTCAGCTTTCATCGTGAGTTCTGAAAAAGATGTTCTTTAATATTTTCCTAACATGCTCAATTTGTATATTTGCAGCTTCTTAAAGATATAAACAAATTGATGTGTCTCTAGTTTTATACACTTTCCATACATCAATGTTTCGCAATTTGTTAAAAGCATTAATTTATTTNTCTTTAATATTTTCCTAACATGCTCAATTTGTATATTTGCAGCTTCTTAAAGATATATACAAATTGATGTCTCTAGTTTTATACACTTTCCATACATCAATGTTTCGCAATTTGTTAAAAGCATTAATTTATTTATTTATTTATTTATTTTTGGTTAAGATTTCATGTTCCCTATGCTATTGGTCTTATCTTTTTGACCTCATACTGTTCGTTCATCCTAAGTTGAACATGTGTCTTTCCATTGATCATGACTTGTACCATCTATATGGGAGGCTATTTGTGATCAAGTTTATGTACTTGGTGGGGGTTCAGGTGGTTTTACTTTACCCGTTAGGGCATCTCTGCTTATGTTACTTTCAAAAAACCAAAAAAAAGGACCATGCATGGTCCTCTTACTTTGTTCTGTGCTTGGACAAATTTCTGCAGTTAAGGGTGATTTGGGTATTTGAATTTTGTTTTTCTGCATTTGTTGTGTTTCAGCCAAAAAAATTGTCATATCACTTATAATGAGTCATGTTGGAGCCCAGAATCTGAGGCACAAATCCACAGTAGCATGTAATACCAAGTTCGTTTGGGCTCCTCCATTGTTAATTCCAATTTTATCGCTTTATGGTACAAATGGAAACTAGGACATGCTAATGATCATGGATTAATTTAGACCCTGGAGCTTTATATGTCTTTAATTGATCAACATGTTATCCTCCACTCCTCTAAGGTAAACCAAGAGTAGTAGTTTTGTTCAACTATTCCACACAACATTTTTATGCTTTGCACATTCATCCTTGCCCTTTAGTTATCCTTTAATCAAGTGTAGTTAATCTTTTTTTTGGATACGATGTAACTTTACTTTTCTCCGTGTATTTTAATAACCTTTTAAACTTCGAAGGATATGATGCTTAGAGAAACACCTACCCTAAGTGGACATACCAAGGTCCATTTAACATAGTGCAATCTTGTGACAGTTGCTTGTGCAACATGGTACTACCTTGTTTACGTTTTTACGTCTATTNTATGATGCTTAGAGAAACACCTACCCTAAGTGGACATACCAAGGTCCATTTAACATAATGCAATCTTGTGACAGTTGCTTGTGCAACATGGTACTACCTTGTTTACGTTTTTACGTCTATTGTGGAAATAATATAAGTGGCATATAATCAAGGTTTCATAGAGAGTTATTTGTATCTTCTTCTATGAAGCACATACACTTCATTTTGACTCACATATCATTGTCCGACATGCAATAAAGAGTGTCTGGTTTTTTCTCCTAAGTTCGGACACGTCCTGGATACATTAGGAACACGCTCTGGACATGTCCCGATCCTTGTGGGGGATCATTTTGTTTTTTTAAATAAAAAAAAACATTGGTTGTGCGTAATTTGAAATAGTAAAACTTTTGGACTTAAATATTTATAGATATAATAATAGATGAGAAATGAGATTCATTCTTTAATCATAAGGGAGATACGTCCCTTCGAGGAAATTCGATAAAATTGAAACGAGACAAAGAAGATTAATTTGGTCCCAGCCCAAAGATGGATGCAATAATCATATGCAAGACGCAAAACTGAGAATGAGACGAATAGAGAACAAAAGAGAAGGACCAGAGAGTCTAACGGAGATGGCTCGATGCCAACATGTTAGACGACTTGTGCTTTCCTCTTGCAACTACGACTTGACCTTTATTTTATGTGGTAGTTAGCGATTTTGTATATTTTATTTGTTGGATGCTTATTATGATGCCAACTAGTGGAATTATGGAATAATGAATGATGTTTACGTGAAGGGTTCAATGGAATTGCTATCTTTAGTTGTTAAATTTTTATTTAATAGCTCTTATATTTAATTTCTTAATAGAATTATTGTGATTCATGTGTTTTTATATTTAATTTGATTAAAGTAATGTTAGCTTTTATCATATAGTCAAACTATCAATAACTCTTTGTCTGAAGACATTCTATAATACACAAAATCGAATATTAATCATGCGATATTTATATTTTAAATAATATTTTTTGTTTATTTATATTTTTTTAATGATGTAATTTAAAATTAAAGTGAACAGTGAGAAAAATAAGATAGAGTTAGGAGAGAAAAAAGAGAGAGGTGGGTGTGGATTAATAGGGTTAATTTGGGAGTGCGCTGGTTGAATTATTTAACATTGGGCACTGTGTAGAGAATATGATGTTTTTGTGCGGGAAAATAAATTTGGGAATGAATTTTATATNTTAGGAGAGAAAAAAGAGAGAGGTGGGTGTGGATTAATAGGGTTAATTTGGGAGTGCCCTGGTTGAATTGTTTAACATTGGGCACTGTGTAGAGAATATGATGTTTTTGTGCGGGAAAATAAATTTGAGAATGAATTTTATACTATTGGATCAAAGTAGATGAAAATTACATCAATTTTAACCGTTGTGTTTTTATAAGTTGAGAATTCAACTTTCTAACTGTAATATTTGATAGATAGAAAAAACTATATATTAACAAGTGTATCATATCCATTTCCTACCTTTTTTGACTTTTGAGAAATGTCATTTTGCTAGTTCGTGTCGTGTCGTATCTCAGTACCGTGCCCGTATTTCATACTTCGTATTGCCGACTTTCTTATCTAGAAAGCGTGCAGAAAAATAAGTACAAAACTCATCAGCTGGTCAAATTTGGTTAAAATGAAGTATGAATGGTTATTGTGTTGGGATGCAATATTTGTATAGACTATAAAGGCTGTTGGTTACTTGCAATTGTGGCAACAGTGTGGGTAGTGACTCCTAATTTTAAAGAATGTGATTTCTATCTCGCATATTGCTGTTTTTCGCAGAAGAAAGCATTTGCTTTTTTCTTTTTGTAACTTGTATAGTTTGTCAGTTGGGGGTTCATTCTTGTTAGACTTCAGCCTTTGGCTTAAGATGGATGTTAGTGTAACGATATTCAGCTATAAAAACTACAAGGAAGTGCACTTCTAGTTGAGGAATTGTACTTCTAGTTGAGTAATTGTGTAGACAACTCAAAATTTTATCAATGCAGAAATACACACTGTTGAAAGGAAGAAACATTAAATTCTCGATGTAAGATGCAACAATTTTCTATTGCGTTTGGCCTATCTGTTGGTATATTCTGTGGGTAATTGGTTCCATTTTTTGCTTGGAGATCCATATGTGATTTGGTAAATGTTTATATATGACTTGACATTTAAAACAAGGAATGATGCTGGCCATAGATCTAATATTATATGGTTCATTATCATGCTTTGATTCTAATGCTGTGCAAGTTTTTAGGTTGGGGTTGCAGAGATGAAGGTTGTAATTGAAAGAACAGGTGGCCTTGTGGTTCTAGCTGAAAGTTTTGGTCATGCTGTTTTTAAAGACTCATTCAAGCATGTTTTTGAAGTAGGAGAACAGTCACTGGGCCTATCCTTCAAGTGAGTGTCTCAATGTTAATCAATTTAACTACTTATGTTCTTTGTGAATTTGTTTTCCATTCATGTCTTGTTTTTTCACATCCCTGCTTTGTGTGATGTGATTTTGATGGGCTTAATGTTAGTATCTAATGACATTGTAGAGTGTCTTGTTTTGAATCATGGAAATGTGTTACATTGGCTACAAATGTTTAAAATGGGTGTTCCTTTAAACCCATACACCCTAACATAACATGATCCAGAGAGTACATGAGCCACTATAGTTCTATTTTCCATCTATATCATTGGTTGCCACAAGTTCCTGAAGCCTCATTCTCTGAATCTAGCTATGAATTCTGTGTGTGTTTCTCTCTTCGTGTGTGTATTACATTGAACTTCAGTATTGTTTCAGAGATAGGGTTTTATAATTAAAGAATTCATCAAGTTCACTATTTAATGTACATGTGTCTATGTCCTGACCCATGGAAGCCACATTATAAATGTTTTTCTGCTATTTAGTTTTGAATCATTTGCCAATAAGTCGGTCCAAAACTAGACAGCAGTGGACTCTGAATTATGCAAAAGGGGGCCGCTGAAATAGAGTCGGGAAAAGGTGTTAGTTTGAGTTACAGCGTCTGTATTTGTAAACTTTGTTTAGTGGGCACTCCAATTCCTTTTTCTCCTGTACTACTATTTACTTTAAATTGACTTCATCATATAATGGAATATGGTTCTTTTTCACAATAGAGTGCAAAAAACAGCCTCATTACGTTTCATTTTTCACAGTGGCACACTTGAGATCAACTGTTCAAAGGATATTAAAGTTCAAGGGATTATTGGACCTTGCACGTCTTTGGAGAAGGTTGGTTATATATATGTTGGCTACGTTATTTTTCTGAAGCATGATGTTATCTTATTTGGTATCAGACAACTTAGTTTCTGCTTTGACTGCTAGAATCTGATTAGAATGTCATTTGTAAGGTTGATTCTGATTGCTTAAAGCCTTGCAGAAAGGACCTGCTGTCGCCAACACAGTTATTGGACAGGGCAATACTACATCTTGGAAGATGTGTGGCCTTGACAAAAGTACTTGCTTGACTGTTTTCTTTGATATTTCATCCAGTGAAAAGTCAGAGCCCTCAGGAAATTTAAATCCACAGTTGTATATACAGTTTCTTACTAGGTATGTTGAAGAATCATATCAGTAGGGTTCTTTTTATATTAAAATATAGCTTATTAATTTTGCACTAGACATTGATTGTTTTGCTGGGTTTTCCTTTGGTTGTTATGACTCTTAGACTCGGAGATGTTCTATTGCTCCTTTTTTTTTTTGTAATTTCAATTGTGTCTCTTTTTAGTATAGGATGTACAAGTTGTATGTTTCATTTTTTCTGTATATTAATGCATCGTCTTGCTTTACCTTTATAAAAGGGACAAAAATTGCTTGTGGTGGAATTGAGTTTTGTGTTGGCCATAAATTTTAAATGTAGTTACCAGAGCCCTGATGGTCAAACAAGACTGCGAGTTACAACCATTACTAGAAGGTGGATAGATAGTGCTGTTGGCTCAGAGGTATGATAGTGCGATAACTTCAATTTCTTCTTCTTTTTTTTCCTTATTTGTTGAACCATGGGATCAATTTTGTATGAATGCCCATATATTTACATAATTATTTTTGCTGAAGTGTGCAAAAATAGATTTTTAATCCAATGATAATTTAGGAAGAATTGGCATTTGGGATGCAATTTTTGTATGGTGGTGTTTCGTGTTTACCTTGTTAGATTATACATGATCAATAAAGAATCCCTTGCATATTATGTTTGAAAGAATAGTTGTTGAAAACCTACCCCCGCACATCCAAACCAAAAAAAAGAAAAAAAATCCAAGAGTAAAGAAACAAACCAAAATTGGAATGTCTGAATTGTGCTAATAAATGAGGATAAGGTTTTTGTAGTTTCTTTGCAATATCATCTATCAGCGCAGTCATGACAATGAGATTCATGACTCAATTCCTCATACCTTGGAAAACTAGTCTCACCAACTGAGTTTGTGAGAAGTATATACTAGAAGCATACACGCCAATTTCGTGTGATAACAAACCCATTTTGCATGATAACAAACCCATGCCCATATCTTTTTTTTTTTGGTAAGTAGATTTTTTTATCTTTCTTCGACTTATTTCAAGCATTCTTGACTTCTGGTCTCTATTGTGATATGGAACACAAAGGAATTGGCTAGCTTGGGTTTATAATTTAGGGATAATGGACTTCTTTTTTTAATTTGGGAATTTAAAGGTTACTCTTATCTGGATGTAACTTGAATCAGGTTGTTTTTGTTGGTGCATAGCCATAGATAGATGTATGGGACTTTGGCAATGGAAGGGTCAGTTTTGGGTATTGAATGTTACACACATTGGAGAATTCCTCTTTCTTTTCTTTCTCTATGTTTCTTTTCCCCTTCATCTCAATATTTCTGTTTATCTCGTCTACATCTCTATCTTCCCTTTTTCTTCTCTTCTTTCCCCTCTTTCTCTAATTCTCTATTCTATCTGAATGGTCCTGCATCATAGTCTTCTATTGATATATCAATGATTTCTATTTGTGCTGTGTTTGCAGGAATTGGTACAAGGATTTGATCAAGAAGCAGCTGCCGTAGTAATGGCTAGGTTGACTTCTTATAAAATGGAGATGGAGGTACTACTACAATTTAAAAAAATGTTTTTGAGCCTTTTGATTGACATGCATGTATAGACAGAATGAGACATATTGTTCACTTAGTTGTAGCGTCACATGTACTGTCTAGGTTCTCATTCATGGGAACTCTAATACTGTCCTTTATCGCTAGAATGAGCAATGGAGATATTATTCATGGTGGCTATGGTCTCTTGCATTTTTATGTAAAAAGGAATTCAACCAGGAAACTAAAATTTACCCTGGAGAAGAGGATTTAGTTTTTCCTTCTTGTTGTAGGTAACCTTCACATTATTGTATTACATGCAAAATTTTATTCTATTTNAGGAATTCAACCAGGAAACTAAAATTTACCCTGGAGAAGAGGATTTAGTTTTTCCTTGTTGTTGTAGGTAACCTTCACATTATTGTATTACATGCAAAATTTTATTCTATTTCCTGCTTGTCTAATTGCAAGCTGCATCCACTCGATTATGTTCTGCTTTATCTCTATTATTTATATCTTTGTTGCCTTCTCTTTGTGTAAGTGTATGACTGAGCTAAAACCTGTCGATGGATTTTGTTTTTGTCAGGAAGGATTTGATGCCACAAGGTGGTTAGATCGGAATCTTATTCGCCTCTGTTCCAAATTTGGCGACTATCGGAAGGATGACCCAACCTCATTTACATTAAATCCCAGTTTTTCGCTGTTTCCTCAGTTTATGTTTAACCTGCGGCGATCACAATTTGTGCAGGTAATCATGACTTGTGACTTCTTCCATTTTCCTATTATGTTTCAAAATTTACGACATATGTTTTGTAAATGTATTCTCTCTCTCTCTCTTTCTCTCAACTTTCTTCTTTCCTCTTCCTCTTCTGTACCAAATGCTTCAATATGTCTTATATGTATGTAATCTCTCTCTCTCTCTCTCTCTCTCTCTCTCTCTGTGTGGCAGGTGTTTAACAACAGTCCAGATGAGACCGCCTATTTCCGCATACTGTTGAACCGTGAAAATGTAATTAATGCAGCAGTCATGATTCAACCATCACTTATGTCATATTCCTTCAATTCGTTGCCTGCACCGGCTTTGCTGGATGTGGCATCCATTGCAGCTGATCGTATCCTCTTATTGGATTCGTATGTCAGCGTAGTTATTTTCCATGGAATGACAATAGCTCAGTGGAGAAACATGGGCTACCAGAACCAGCCTGAACACCAGGTATTTGCCCATTATATCCATTGTGTTCATCTAAATATTTGGTGGTCACTTGAAAGCATCAGGTGCACCAACAAAATGACCTAAGGCCTTGGGTAGAAGCCCATCTTTTTTATCTCTTTTAAGCTACTGTTATTGCTGTGAAAGATTTCTTTTTATGGGAAAAAAGATGGGACTATCGTTCTTCCTGTTTTTTTCCAGATTCCATAGATGGGCGAATAATTCTTTTTTGGGGACACAGTTTCCAAGAAATCAAATTGTTGTTTGTCTCTGCATCAAATTGTTATCAACTGATGCCCACCTTTTGCTCCTTCATAGGCATTTGCACAGTTATTGCAAGCTCCACATGACGATGCCCAAATGATAATCCGCGACCGGTTCCCTGGTCCAAGATTGGTCGTGTGTGATCAGCATGGCTCCCAGGTCATCTTTTTGGTCCTTATCTCAGTGTTTCATCAAGATTTACCTTGCCATGATTCTATTGTCTATATGTATGTCTGAATTTCAGTAATTTACTTAAAACTCTGGTTGAACGAAATAATAAGAAAATATATAAAAATATTTAATTTAAATGAGCATATGACCAAAATAAATGGCAAAGACGGGCTCATATAACCGAGTCCAAATGATTGAGACATAAGGCTTGGTTTGGTTTGGTACTTAAAACTCTGGTTGTTAGTTGAGTCCTTCAGATAAGGGTAGATAGAAAACAAGGGTTGCTTTTGTTGAACTGTCCTAGTAGTTAGTTTTGGCCTAGGATTGTGCCTGCTTACAATGGTGGTTGCTTTAGGGTATGTATATTTATTATCAGCCAGCCAAAGGTGTAATCACTTTAGTTCTTTGTTTTATATTATAAAAGCATAAAATGCTATAATTATTTCGGAATATAAGAGATCATACATGAAATTTCTATTTTTATTTATTTTCGTGGAGTTTTGAATATTATGCTAGAATAGTAAAACAATGATCAGATATTATTAGTTCATTTTCTGATCCGTTATATAAAAAAAATTTATTAAAGGGAGGTCATAATATGCTTTAATTAAGAAAGTTGGTTTGGATTGACAAGGATATATGAGTAATGAATGTAGTTAATGTATGATCAAAATTTAACATATAAGAAAAGCAATAATGTTGGTTAGCGACAAAATGAAGGAGATCTGTTCATCTCTTGAGTTGCCAGCCTCTTGTGCCTAGAAGATCCCTAATTTCTGTAGAATTAATTTTTTGTTTGGTTTATGGAGGTATCTTTCTCCGGACAGGAACTCTCATTGTTTAGTAGTCACCTCCCTCGAGTTGTAGTACAATTTTGTTCATAATATAAATTTCTTTAGATTAGTTAAATTAGTTTTTGGCAACTTGTGCTGGTTGCTCTAACTGATGTTATGGCAACTGAGTCATCTTACTCATCTTGAGAAATTAAAAGTAGTTTCTATATTTCTCGACATGTTGAGCAGGCAAGATTCCTTTTGGCAAAGTTGAACCCGTCAGCCACGTACAATAATGCTCATGAGATGGCTGCTGGATCGGATGTGATCTTTACTGATGATGTGAGTCTTCAAGTGTTCTTCGAGCATCTTCAGAGGTTGGCTGTGCAATCTTCTTGAGACCACAGAACATTGGGACTTGGCAATCGAGGTATGCTTTCTTGGTATTGTGAAAATCCCGCTGTTTGCGTTCTCATCCCCTTTTTGCTAGCCTCTTATCCCTTTGGATCTGTACCTTTCTTTCCATCATTCATGGGATAAGAGGTCAGACCCTATATTTTACTTGAACAATAGGGAAATCATTCTTTGGGTTGTGGGGAGATATTTGTTTCCATTTGAAAATAAGAGACGAGGTTGGGAGTTTTAATTTATATATATATATGCAAAGAAAGGATGAGAATATAAGTTGAAGAGCCACCCCTGCTTTAGCAGCAGGATCAGTCAGAATGACATTCTCAGTTTTTGTAAGTTACCCCCCAGGTCACAAGTTTATAGTTTGTTTTTTGTATTGAATTTGAGGTTATATAGTTGGAGTGAAGGCTCCTTTGTTGAGAAGTTCATGAAATTCTTGTTTTTGTTCAGCCTACAGTTTGAAAGATGAACTATACTCTCTCTCTCTCTCTCTCTCTCACACACACACACACACACACACAGGCATCAATGTGTCTGCATATTGGTGGCAATCTAAATTCCCTACCATTTTGGTCATGCACACTTTGGTTTGGCCCAAATGTTTCATTGCTCCTTTTCGTCAGAGACAGTGAACACAGGAAGTCTTCAACACCATTAATCATGGATTCCAATGCAGTTTCTCACAATTCAGAGACATTGTTCTTAAATCTTATTATCCAATTCTTGCACAGAACAGATCAGCAAACAAAGCGAGTCATTTAACGTTTTGAGTCTTGAGGCACAATGTGCCCAGTTTGTTTGTTGGTTATTATGTGCAGTCGAGGTTTGCATTGCGGTTATCAGTTTAAAGGATTCATAGTAAAGTGGTTGGAATGATTTTTCGTTGCCAAATATTAAGTTTTTCATTCAAGAAAGTGGCATTTTCATTTTTGGGTTTGGCTCTCCTCCAATATTACTAGAATTAGATAATCCTCCAATTGTTTTTGAGTAATCTGGATTTATGCACGTAAACACTGGCGTTGTTGGTCATGTTACATCAACTGAACTGAAATAGACGCATAAACAAAATGACTGTATAAGGGCGTCGTTGGTTTTGTTTTGTAAAACTATTTTTTATTCTCAAAATTTAAAAAACATCTTCAAATTTTTGGGAACAAATGAGAATTGGAGCAAAAATATAAAAAATTAGCGTAATTTGTTTTTAGAGTTTTCTTTGAAGACGTTAGAAACATGGAGACACAAGCTTCTTGAATGAGAGTTGTCCTTCGAGTTCCTTTAGCGGTAAAAGAGTTTTTTCTTTTTTTTTCCCTTCCTCTCTCTCTCTCTCTCCAGCATCTTCTTCTCCAGAGATCTTTGGCAAAGATGAAGACGAAGACATAGATCTCCATCTCCTCTCTCTCTCTCTCTCTCTTTCTCCTCCTCTTTAACGAAGATGAAGATCGGGCCTATTTTTTTTTTTTTTTTGTATTTGAGTTCAGTGTTTCGGTGGTAGTTGTGGGTTTTGGGTGGTTGTGTGTTTCATTGGTGCTTTGTGGGTTTTGGTAATGGTTGTGAGTTTCGGTGGTGCTTTGTGGGTTTTGGTGGTGGTTGTGGGTTATGAGTAATTGTGAGTTTCAGTACTTTGTGGGTTTCGGTGGTGCTCGATGCTTTGTGGGTCTTGATGGAAGAGAGACAGAGAGTTGAAGCGAGAGGTGGAAATTATAGATTCTTAGCCAAACAAATTTTATAATTTTTGTTCTTTAAAATTATTTTCAAAAGTATATAACTAAACAGGTTTTGCAATCTAAAAATTTTAATAACACTTTCTTAAAATTCTTCCTAAAAATAGTTTTCAGATACTATTTTTTGAAATGTAAACCAAACAGGTCTTAAATTTTGAATATATTTCAAACATTGTACGTATATATTTCGATAAATTTTGGGATAATTTAGCTATTATATATAAGTTAGGGTCATCATATGATAAATTGTATTGTCATTTTGTAAATATATTAAAAATTATAACTAAAGTGACTACCAAGGAACAAATTCTTGGCTCCGGCAAGCACGTAAACAGATTCAGTTAATTCAAGAAATATCTGAAGTTTATAAAATCCAAAATTAACCGAATCTGCTTACGTATACAAATTTTATTCATTTTAAAAAAAAATAGAGGATGTTCCAATCCTTCATTTTTGTGGAAAGAAATCGGAATGGAAGGCATGACATTAAAAGAAGGGACATCAATTAGCAGTAGAATTGATAGTGGAATGAGCTTAAACAAGTTCGAGTCGAATTAATTTTTTTTTTTTTTAACTGAGTCTGAACAAATCAAACTTGAGCCGAACATGAGTATTTACACATAAACGAGTCGTGGTTGTCGAATTCGAGGAGAGTCTGTTGGACTCATTTTTCAAATGAGTCTAAAAAATTATTCAAATTCAGCTCATTTAGAAAAATAAACTAAGCCTAAACGAGCAAAAAATGAGCCAAACTTAAATTAAACTCGAATAGCTCAGTTTGATTAATAGTCCTAATTAGTAGTTCTATTTCTGCTATTTGGAACCGGACACACCTTACTATTTGCTGGTTCTTCCTTTGTAAAGTGTTTTTCAAACTTGACCGAGTTCCAAAATGTGAATTTCAAAGTAAAAATATGATTTGTATCAAATATTATGCATGGTGGTGGTCTGTATAGCATAAAACTCCTTTAGTATTTTCATAAATCACAAAGAGACCCTTGAGTTTTTGAGTTACACCAACATCACCTCTTATTGGATTCGACTCGATCATGTGCAAAAAAGGTTATTCAATCTCAACTCGGTAATCTTTTGTTTAATTTAGAACTTAACTCGATACGACTCAACTCTTCTAATTAAACAAACAAACTCAAACTTGTATTATTTTAAAAATAATAAAGGTTATCTCAAATGTTTGAGGTTGAGCCATAGTTCATTAGACACGAAGTAATAAACAAATTTAGTATAGATATAGTGGTTTTTGACATAAAATAAACCCACCTGTCCCAGACTCAACACGATCCGATTGACAGGCACCTTGTTGTGCGATCTTAACTCANAAACAAATTTAGTATAAATATAGTGGTTTTTGACATAAAATAAACCCACCTGTCCCAGACTCAACACGATCCGATTGACAGGCACCTTGTTGTGCGATTTTAACTCGGTAATCTTTTGTCTAATTTAGGATTTAACTCGATTTGACTCTGATTAAACAAACAAATCTCAAACTTGTATTTGAGCTTAAACTCGGGTCCAGTCCTGTGTTCAAGATCTAGCTCGAGGTGTGCAAGGTGGGTACGAAACCGGAGTGACGGTCACTAGTGAAGAAAGTTGGACGATCCCAGTAGATTCGTTAGAGATGAAGTAATAAACAAATTTGATATGAATATAGTAGTTTTTGACATAAACCCACTTGACCCGGATTCAACACGACCCGATTGATAGGCACCCTGTTGCGCGCCAAATATTTGAACAAACTTCTCTCTCTCACACACAAACTCACACAGAAGATGCAGTTCACGGACTCAGAGCAAGAACAACCAACATGCTTACAAGGCCACCGATCATCTCTGATCCTCCAAACCCTAGAAGGAGGCAACATCTGCCTCCTCTGCGTCTCGAACCTCATCTCCAACCCCAAATCACCTACAGTCCACGTCTCCTACGCTCTCTCACAGCTCTCTCACGCCCTCTCTCAGCCGCAATTCCTTCACTCCCTCCTCACCTTCCACTCTCACTTCCTCGTATCACCCCTAGTTCAAGCCCTCTCTTCCTTCGACGACGAGCCCATTGCTAATCAGATTATCGATTTGATTATTCAGATATGCAGCGCGGAGGATTGTGAGGCGTATGGGGAGTTTGTGACCAGGGTTGGGGATAAATTGTCTAGCGGTGCGTTGGGTTGGAGTCGGAGACAGGTTTATATGGTAATCGTTTTTGGTCTTTCGATTTCTGCTGTTTTTTGTGTGTGTTTGATTTTGGAAGTTGAAGGATTGGATTGATGAATCGTTATTTTCTCCTTCCGATTTGAATTAACTTTTGGTTGCTGGGAAATGTTTATTTTTGATCACGTCCAATCATTCTCCATGTTAAATATACTGGCCCATTGGGTGTTAGTGAGAGCTATAGGGATGTACTAGGGCCAATGAATTTAAGGATGAATGATGGAAATCAGATGAAATTGATGCAAAATTAATCGAAGTGAGTTATTTAATTTTGCGTAAATTTACGTGTTGCTTTCGGTTTTCTGACACACACACACATATATTGGGGGGGGGGGTGATTAAGTTTGGACACGGACGGAATTGTATAGTGGGATTTACTGTGCCTGGGGAATTAAATTAGTTTCTGTTTGGTTGCTGAGAAAATTGAAGAGTAGAAAATTGACGAGTATTACTGGATTTTTGGTGTTCTCTCTGTTGTTATACTCAGTTGACCAGATTACATGCTCTCTCTCTATCTCTCTATCCGCAGCTTTAGTAATTTACTTTTCGCGGTTTCACTAATTTTCTGGGAACCAAAATAGGTTCATAGAGGATCAGTCATCAGTGGATGAAGTGGTTAAGTTTGGGCTTTATGTTTTTTTTCCCTTTTCAGATGAAGTTGCATTTTTTTTTAGGGTTTCTGAGGACATAGGTCAGTAAAAAAACTATATGAAAATTTGAAAATATGAGAACTTAACTGAGTTTAAAGCCCACAAAAAGCGATAAGAACTGAGCCTAATTTCTGTGATAAGTACTGTTGAGTGGACTCTCTCTCTCTCTCTCTCTCACACACACACACAAACACAGGGACATAGCTTGGAATAATTGTTTCTTTTATTCTTCTACATTTTCCTCAGAATCCCCACTTGCAGTATTGGACCTTTGAATGTTATGTTCTCACTGTGTTGTTTCCTAAAGTTACAAGAAATCTTTACCTGTGTTTGCTAAAAAATTTCTGATAAGATCCATTGGCCAGAGTCTGTTTCTCTTATGTTTGTAAATTTCTTCCTTATATTTTCTTGGAAACAGAACATAGCAGTATAGATGAGGGTTGTTTGATGAATTCGATAACCAAATACTGCATCTCTTGGTATCCAGGCCTAGTATAGTTGATGAATTTCCACTAGGTTTTTTAGTAATATGAACTTTTAATTCATTATTTTTGTCTGCTGAAACTTCTGACTACTTTTGATTGGGATGAGAGAGATTGAGAGGACATTTGAGAGCAGACTTGGTTTGTGTAAGGAAGCAGTTCAGGAGTCATTTTCCACCCAAGTTTAGCTGTCAAACAATGGACAAAACTGCATTCCTTGGAGTTGTTGCAAAGCATAAAACAATAACTGGTGTATTCGCACCAGAGTAGGATACAGTATCCACTCCAATTTGAAAATCAGATACATCCGATCAAGTTAGTTTCACAAATGGAAGGTTTGACATGGATGTGCTTGTGGGTAACTCATTCTACCTATTGCTTATGGATAAAACAGTATGCCTAATTTACTATGAATATGGTCAGTATCTGCAAGCAAGATTGTCTTTCATTAATGTAATATAATTCTCTTAAGATCTCTATTTTTATTTGTGTTCAAATGCAGGTTCACTGCTTAGGTGTTCTCTTGGATCATCAGGAAGAAAATCCATATCTCCAAATCAAAGACAAAAATGCCCTTGTTGTCAACCTTGTTACAGGTCTTCAGTTGCCTAGGTAACATTTGAAGCAAACATAGGAGTTGAATATCTCCTTTTTCCATGCTTCTAATACTTTATCTTTAGTCCCTTTTATTCTTGAATACAGTGAAGACATCCGAGGGGAGATCCTATTTGTTCTGTACAAAATATCCCTCCTCCAATATGTGTATAAGGATGATGGTTGTGCGGATGTTTTATTTGTCAACTGTCCCAAGCTCTTGTACTTATCCTTGGAAGCTCTCATGAAGACTCAAAGTGATGATGTTCGCTTGAATTGCGTAGGTCTGTCAGTTGCCACTTCTTTTGAACTTTTCTTTTCACTTGGTCCAATGGTTCTCCTTGTCTTGTATAGGCTTTGTCTTCTTGAGGTCAAGGGTTCAAGTCCTCTTTCCCCTCTCCCTCCCAGAAAAAAAAAAAAGTTACCCCTGTAGTGTTTGATTATACAATCAGCTTGTAAAGCCTAACTAGCATTGCATCAGGATAACAGTTGGTTTAGGACAACCAGCCACAACCGCAGCGTAGTTCTTTGGAGCGATCACTGTAGGAGTTGCCAACACTGTTTAGAATTAAGCCAACCTTCTGAACTCTTGGGTTGGACAGATATGTTAACAAATTGCAGACTCAACTGGAGAAAGTTGATGCTTCATTACACAAATCCGCTTGTCACATATTATTTAGACGGGATTTTGGCAAATAAACTTAATGTTGACATGATTAGGTCCATCAAGTGATCCTGGGACTTTCATTTGACAAATTGAACCACCAATATCTCAAAGGTCCACTACATAACGACCATATGACCATTGATAACACGACTCCCATAAAGTCAAAGCTCCCAAATATTATGCAGAATCACAATTAATTATCTGTCTGGTTTAAATTACAAAATGAGATGACTTGCTTGTGCATGACATGTAATGTAGTAAAACTTTACACATCAGGGCATGCACACGCATGCAGATGTATATAGTATTTTCGTAACCATCTTATTTCAAGTAATACTTCCCATTTTCACCTTCGTAGCGCTTTTGACGGTCTTGGCTCAAAGAGGTTTCTTTCAGAATGCATGTGCAAATGATCTAAGCAGCAAAAATCCCTGTGAAGCTGACAACTTCATGCATACAGCAGAACATGGAATAGATGAGCCTCTGAACATCTTGTTTGCTGAGGCTGTCAAAGGTCCCCTGCTTTCTTCAGATAGCCAAGTTCAAATCGGTACATTGGATTTAATCTTTCTGTATCTGTCATGGGAAGGTGGTTCAGAAAAAGAAGTCCAGATATTGGTAGAAGAGAACATTGCTGATTATGTATTTGAAATACTGAGATTGTCAGGTAAGCATCATATAGAAATAAGATGTCCCACTGCCAGAGCAAGGAATAGGAGATACCAGCAGCCTTTCAAGTATGGTCTATCATGTGGATTTGGTGTAGTTTAGTCATTCTGTAGGTGGAAGTTGATCTTTTCTGATCATCAAAATATTCGTTCAAAAAGATTTTCCATTGAAATATCCAGCAGCTTTTCTTTTATCCATTAAATTGACTTTTTGACTATATCACTATTTTGTCAACCACTTGTGTGGTTTAACAACTTATCAATGCATTTTCCGCTCATGCTAAGTTTACATCAGATCTTTTTGAGTTACTTTAACACTGTCAAAACTTCAAGAATCTGTGAACTCTTAAGTTATCTTTCAAATGAATTTTTAGTGAATACGCTGTTTACCTCTCTCATGGTTAAAGAACTTAGTGCATGCATGTCAACTCTACTTTTACTTCATCATCACAAATTTTAGAGTATGCAAATTATCTTTCTAATGAACCTTTATTGTCAATTGACAGGGTGCAAAGATCCCATAGTTAACTCTTGCATTCAGGTTCTTGATCTACTATCAACAGCTGAACAGGCATTCAGACAGAGACTTGCTATTGGATTTACAACTTTGGTGCCTGTACTACGATATGTGGCTGGAGTACCCTTCCATCCTGTTCAAACTCAGACACTGAAACTTATATGGTACTGTGTTTCCGACAGCCCTGGTATAGCATCTAGCTCTCATATTGAAGAACTAGGTCTTATCTTGACAGGGATGTTTAAAAAACATATTGATGGGGATACAGGCATGCTTCCAGAGGCATTCACCATGGCCTGCACAATCCTTGTAACTCTAATGCAATCACCATTGTCTAATGAAACATCAAATTTGGCAACTTCAGTTAGAGATGCATCAAGACATTCAATTTTAACTTGTTTGAACATTTATGATGAATACCCCAATCAACTTCTCCACTCCCTCTACCTACTGAAAGAGGCATATGCATATAGTCATGAGCCACATGCCACCAACTCCAGTAACATAGAATTAAGAGATTGTATTCTAGATATATGCAAAACACACATGTTACCTTGGTTTATAGCAGTCCTCAATGAGATGGAAGAGGAGGATATTGCTTTAGGAATACTGGAGACTTTTCACTCCATTCTGCTTCAACATTCTGTCCAAGCCAAGGAGTTCACAGATATTCTGGTCTCATCCTCTTGGTTCAGTTTATCATTTGGATGTCTAGGTTTATTTCCTTCAGAAAAGATGAAATCGAGAGTTTATCTGATGTTCAGTTCCATCATGGATGTGCTTCTGGGAAATGACTCTGGGCAACCCATTCGAGATTCTGCTTTGCATCTACCTTCTGATCCAATGGATTTGCTATTCCTACTAGGGCAGAAGAGCTCCCATAATTTGGAATTGGCTTCTTGTCAATTTGCAGTCTTGCTTATACTCTATGCCAGCTCTTTGCATGACGATAGGTAACACACAGTTACAGATTTTTCATCTTGCTTCCATGCTCAGTTAAGTTTTGTAACTGATCTTAAATTTTTTGATTTCTTCTTTAACAAGGCTTGCAGATGAAAAGCTGGTATTAACTTCTCTGGAGCAATATATTCTAGTTAACAGCAGCAATATCCTTTATGGGGCTGCTGAGTCAATTACACTGGGGCTACTTATAAATCTTTATGGCCTTTATAGGGGCCTTGCAAAAAAGGGCTATCAAATTCCTTACAGTCCAGAGGCTGAAAGGATCCTGTTCCATTTAATGGATGAAAAGAAATGGGATTTCCTTTGCACTTGCATTCACATGACATCTCTGAAATGGTTATTTCAACAAGAGAAAATCTGCAAGTCATTGTCTAACCAGATTCTCAAGTTCTGCAGGTGCAATAGCTCAAATGAAACCCACATTATCATTCATCGAAACAGTGTTCAAAACATAGATTTAAATGCAATTGGAGAATTGATAGCATCAGACGATAACTTTGGAGCGACACTCTTTGTATGTTTATTGAGAGAGCTTGTTGAAGAAGGTGGCAATGAGCATGACTTCATTTCAGTAGTCAATATCCTGGCAGTAATCATTGACTTCTTTCCAGCTGCCTCAGACCAATTATGTTTACATGGGATAGCTAGTCCAATCCACAATGTTTTTTGTCATGCAAGGCATTGCTCTTCCCCTCAAACATTCAGGACTCTTTCCCAGCTAATTTTTATCATTTTGCGTTCAGTACATCCTGAATCACTCTCTGATGATGAAGCTTGGCTTGCAGTGACAATGAAGGTACCCAATTGAAGTCAACTGGAACTCTNCAGGACTCTTTCCCAGCTAATTTTTATCATTTTGCGTTCAGTACATCCTGAATCACTTTCTGATGATGAAGCTTGGCTTGCAGTGACAATGAAGGTACCCAATTGAAGTCAACTGGAACTCAGTTTGCTCTTGCTTAATGAATACTGAGTGGACCTTTCACCTTCTTTTGTAGTTAATGGACTATCTGATAGCCACAGTAGATGCAGACGGATGGACTGAAGATGGTCTCATGATAATTGGCATCCTTTGCTTGATTTTGCACTTTTCCACCAATCAAAAATTGGTAGAAGCTTCAAAAACTATACTTCTGAGTAGTTCCTTGGGCTTAATAATCAACAACACAATCACTGAAGCCTGTGCAAGGGGACCTGCTTTAGTTGATTACAGTGAGGGAACAAAATTGGGGGAAACTCTGATATTTGTGCTTTCACTGCACTACTTCTCTTTGAGAAGGTCAGCACATCCCAGTATGCTTTGTAGTTAAAATATCTCACTAATTTTAATAACCTAATATCCAATTGTTAAACTAACAGTAATATTACATCAGTGTGCAGGCTGTTCTACCGTGGACTCTGGACTGGAAAAATATACTAGATGATGGCAGTAGCATGCAGACGCTATCCTTTATGAGCATTCATTGCCGAGATTTGTGCAGGCTTATGCATTTCGGGTCTCCTCTGGTCAAGCTGGTTGCTTCATATTGCCTGTTGGAGCTGTTTACTGGAGTATCAGAAGTGAATTGTGGAAACCAAGAAAATCCACAATGCACCACGTGGTACCTGTTGTCTGTTATGGCAGTATTAGAAGGCCAGATATTTTGTAGTGATATTCGAGTGGCAATGAACTGTTCTCACTGCTTATCGATGATTTTGAGCTGGGAAAAGCCAGAAATGGAGACACGATTGGCACATGAAAACAATTGGTGCAGGTTGGTAGTAGAGGAGCTAGCAATGTCTCTGGCAGTTCCATGTTTGGCATCAAAATCATTCATGTTTCATCACAAGCCTGCAGTTCATGTAGCAGTTGCACTGCTAAAACAGAAAAAGGTTCCTGGTTGGATGACTTCAGTGTTTGATGATTCTTGTATATTTGCTATAGTAAAAAACCTTTCCCCAAGTAATGTGAGCACTGAGATGGTGCTTCTATTTCGAAAGTTACTGAATTGCAATTACCTGAAGGCTGAGCAAATTGCTGGTCTAAATCGGGTGTTCCAGGTATACCTAGCTCTGTCTACACTCTTCTATACTATTATTTTCAATAGGTTGTCAGAAGGTCTCAAAAGCCACTATATAGAGAGAGAACAGATTTTTACACTTTCCTTTGACTCTTATCTTCATATAAACATCATAGGGCACCGGTATCCTTTAAACTTGTATGTTTTAGATCTCTCGTGGCTGGGAAAACTCTGTTGTTTCCTAAAGCTTATAGATATAACATGCAGTGCTTATATATATCAATTTTTATATTAATTATTCTTAATCCTGTAGGCATGCAGGAAATGTACATACAAAGATGATGTTCAAGATGTTAGTGCAGAGGAGCATACGCAGAAGATGGTTGTCATCCCAGATGATTTAGGAAAAGTTTGTGAGTTCCTCATTGACATCATGTCATCCCAATTAACTCCCGCCATTGGCCGATTTCAAATTAGTAAAATGCGACTGTTAGAAGAAATAGAGTTATTTTCCAAAAGTTTAATTGGAGAGGACGATGGTTAAGGATATCTTTGAAATAAAGGACTGGTCTCATATCCTGTAGTGTGGCATTCTCTAATGTCACAAATCATTTGCCAATTGCCAATGTGAGCAAGGCCCTTGTTTTCAAAGTAACAACAATACGTAAGTGACTGAAATAAATACACATGCATGTTCATGTTCATGTAGACAATGCATCACTCCCATAAGAAGTGTATTGTCAAAAAGCAATGACATTTTCAAAGTTCCTGAGAATTAGAAACATATATGACATTAAATATGTAAGAATCAAACGTTTTTCTTCTTCTAAATCTTCCTCTCTCCAACCATTTTGTGAGCAAGGAGGAACTTCTACCGTGGATGTGTGGGTTTTGCTCTAGTTGTGTTACTCTAGTGCGGGGTATGGTTCGTGATTGTTCGTGATCATCAACAAAAGGTGTTAGAGCACGTGAAACACTCTTGTTTTGATCTCGGGTACGTCCGGTAAAGCTTTGGGAAAAAGGTAAGGCCCAAACCCGATCCGCTTCCACATTATCATTATTATACTTACCCTTCAACATAAATTGCTTTGTCATGCCTTCCTCTTTGAGATATATTCCTAGTTTCATGGTGTTAAACAACATCTTAGCTCCACCAACAGGATGGTTATTCCGACTGAATTTACAGTTTTAAGGTCAAAGCTACATGCCTGATCAGAAGTTCTGCATATTTTGGATCGTGGACTAAAATTCTTATAATGCATTGGAAACACAAAGTTCATTCACATTCAATCTATCCAAGTTGAATTGTGCCGATAACTGCAAAGAAAAATCCTTAAGCTAATATGTCGGACATGGACTGAGGACTAGTCCTCATCCACCAAGTGATATGTCATAGGTCTGATTCGCAAAATTGGTATCTGCAAAATAATGGTAAGATTATCTGCCATAGCACTCCCACACACAGTAGGTATCAATCTTCTGCACTGGGTATGATTTTTTTTTTTTTGTTAATCTTCAAACTAGAGAGATTATGTTCGAAAAATATGGGAGATTTGAGGCGTGGTTGGATTTGGCCTTATTATCACTGTTTATCATCATTCCTACCACACTACCCTTATAGTTTTTTTAATCAAACTATTTTGAGTATGTACTCTTTGAAACATTGAGGATTGTTCTTAGTCTACNAGAATTAGAAACATATATGACATTAAATATGTAAGAATCAAACGTTTTTCTTCTTCTAAATCTTCCTCTCTCCAACCATTTTGTGAGCAAGGAGGAACTTCTACCGTGGATGTGTGGGTTTTGCTCTAGTTGTGTTACTCTAGTGCGGGGTATGGTTCGTGATTGTTCGTGATCATCAACAAAAGGTGTTAGAGCACGTGAAACACTCTTGTTTTGATCTCGGGTACGTCCGGTAAAGCTTTGGGAAAAAGGTACGGCCCAAACCCGATCCGCTTCCACATTATCATTATTATACTTACCCTTCAACATAAATTGGTTCNCAGTAATATTACATCAGTGTGCAGGCTGTTCTACCGTGGACTCTGGACTGGAAAAATATACTAGATGATGGCAGTAGCATGCAGACGCTATCCTTTATGAGCATTCATTGCCGAGATTTGTGCAGGCTTATGCATTTCGGGTCTCCTCTNAGTATGCTTTGTAGTTAAAATATCTTACTAATTTTAATAACCTAATATCCAATTGTTAAACTAACAGTAATATTACATCAGTGTGCAGGCTGTTCTACCGTGGACTCTGGACTGGAAAAATTTACTAGATGATGGCAGTAGCATGCAGACGCAATCCTTTATGAGCATTCATTGCCGAGATTTGTGCAGGCTTATGCATTTCGGGTCTCCTCTGGTCAAGCTGGTTGCTTCATATTGCCTGTTGGAGCTGTTTACTGGAGTATCAGAAGTGAATTGTGGAAACCAAGAAAATCCACAATGCACCACGTGGTACCTGTTGTCTGTTATGGCAGTATTAGAAGGCCAGATATTTTGTAGTGATATTCGAGTGGCAATGAACTGTTCTCACTGCTTATCGATGATTTTGAGCTGGGAAAAGCCAGAAATGGAGACACGATTGGCACATGAAAACAATTGGTGCAGGTTGGTAGTAGAGGAGCTAGCAATGTCTCTGGCAGTTCCATGTTTGGCATCAAAATCATTCATGTTTCATCACAAGCCTGCAGTTCATGTAGCAGTTGCACTGCTAAAACAGAAAAAGGTTCCTGGTTGGATGACTTCAGTGTTTGATGATTCTTGTATATTTGCTATAGTAAAAAACCTTTCCCCAAGTAATGTGAGCACTGAGATGGTGCTTCTATTTCGAAAGTTACTGAATTGCAATTACCTGAAGGCTGAGCAAATTGCTGGTCTAAATCGGGTGTTCCAGGTATACCTAGCTCTGTCTACACTCTTCTATACTATTATTTTCAATAGGTTGTCAGAAGGTCTCAAAAGCCACTATATAGAGAGAGAACAGATTTTTACACTTTCCTTTGACTCTTATCTTCATATAAACATCATAGGGCACCGGTATCCTTTAAACTTGTATGTTTTAGATCTCTCGTGGCTGGGAAAACTCTGTTGTTTCCTAAAGCTTATAGATATAACATGCAGTGCTTATATATATCAATTTTTATATTAATTATTCTTAATCCTGTAGGCATGCAGGAAATGTACATACAAAGATGATGTTCAAGATGTTAGTGCAGAGGAGCATACGCAGAAGATGGTTGTCATCCCAGATGATTTAGGAAAAGTTTGTGAGTTCCTCATTGACATCATGTCATCCCAATTAACTCCCGCCATCGGCCAATTTCAAATTAGTAAAATGCGACTGTTAGAAGAAATAGAGTTATTTTCCAAAAGTTTAANAGGAAAAGTTTGTGAGTTCCTCATTGACATCATGTCATCCCAATTAACTCCCGCCATTGGCCGATTTCAAATTAGTAAAATGCGACTGTTAGAAGAAATAGAGTTATTTTCCAAAAGTTTAGTTGGAGAGGACGATGGTTAAGGATATCTTTGAAATAAAGGACTGGTCTCATATCCTGTAGTGTGGCATTCTCTAATGTCACAAATCATTTGCCAATTGCCAATGTGAGCAAGGCCCTTGTTTTNAAAAGTTTAATTGGAGAGGACGATGGTTAAGGATATCTTTGAAATAAAGGACTGGTCTCATATCCTGTAGTGTGGCATTCTCTAATGTGAATCTAGAAACCTCACAAATCATTTGCCAATTGCCAATGTGAGCAAGGCCCTTGTTTTCAAAGTAACAACAATACGTAAGTGACTGAAATAAATACACATGCATGTTCATGTTCATGTAGACAATGCATCACTCCCATAAGAAGTGTATTGTCAAAAAGCAATGACATTTTCAAAGTTCCTGAGAATTAGAAACATATATGACATTAAATATGTAAGAATCAAACGTTTTTCTTCTTCTAAATCTTCCTCTCTCCAATCATTTTGTGAGCAAGGAGGAACTTCTACCGTGGATGTGTGGGTTTTGCTCTAGTTGTGTTACTCTAGTGCGGGGTATGGTTCGTGATTGTTCGTGATCATCAACAAAAGGTGTTAGAGCACGTGAAACACTCTTGTTTTGATCTCGGGTACGTCCGGTAAAGCTTTGGGAAAAAGGTAAGGCCCAAACCCGATCCGCTTCCACATTATCATTATTATACTTACCCTTCAACATAAATTGCTTTGTCATGCCTTCCTCTTTGAGATATATTCCTAGTTTCATGGTGTTAAACAACATCTTAGCTCCACCAACAGGATGGTTATTCCGACTGAATTTACAGTTTTAAGCTCAAAGCTACATGCCTGATCAGAAGTTCTGCATATTTTGGATCGTGGACTAAAATTCTTATAATGCATTGGAAACACAAAGTTCATTCACATTCAATCTATCCAAGTTGAATTGTGCCGATAACTGCAAAGAAAAATCCTTAAGCTATATGTCGGACATGGACTGAGGACTAGTCCTCATCCACCAAGTGATATGTCATAGANTTCAAAGTAACAACAATACGTAAGTGACTGAAATAAATACACATGCATGTTCATGTTCATGTAGACAATGCATCACTCCCATAAGAAGTGTATTGTCAAAAAGCAATGACATTTTCAAAGTTCCTGAGAATTAGAAACATATATGACATTAAATATGTAAGAATCAAACGTTTTTCTTCTTCTAAATCTTCCTCTCTCCAACCATTTTGTGAGCAAGGAGGAACTTCTACCGTGGATGTGTGGGTTTTGCTCTAGTTGTGTTACTCTAGTGCGGGGTATGGTTCGTGATTGTTCGTGATCATCAACAAAAGGTGTTAGAGCACGTGAAACACTCTTGTTTTGATCTCGGGTACGTCCGGTAAAGCTTTGGGAAAAAGGTAAGGCCCAAACCCGATCCGCTTCCACATTATCATTATTATACTTACCCTTCAACATAAATTGCTTCGTCATGCCTTCCTCTTTGAGATATATTCCTAGTTTCATGGTGTTAAACAACATCTTAGCTCCACCAACAGGATGGTTATTCCGACTGAATTTACAGTTTTAAGGTCAAAGCTACATGCCTGATCAGAAGTTCTGCATATTTTGGATCGTTNACATAAATTGCTTCGTCATGCCTTCCTCTTTGAGATATATTCCTAGTTTCATGGTGTTAAACAACATCTTAGCTCCACCAACAGGATGGTTATTCCGACTGAATTTACAGTTTTAAGCTCAAAGCTACATGCCTGATCAGAAGTTCTGCATATTTTGGATCGTGGACTAAAATTCTTATAATGCATTGGAAACACAAAGTTCATTCACATTCAATCTATCCAAGTTGAATTGTGCCGATAACTGCAAAGAAAAATCCTTAAGCTATATGTCGGACATGGACTGAGGACTAGTCCTCATCCACCAAGTGATATGTCATAGATCTGATTCGCAAAATTGGTATCTGCAAAATAATGGTAAGATTATCTGCCATAGCACTCCCACACACAGTAGGTATCAATCTTCTGCACTGGGTATGATTTTTTTTTTTTTTGTTAATCTTCAAACTAGAGAGATTATGTTCGAAAAATATGGGAGATTTGAGGCGTGGTTGGATATGGCCTTATTATCACTGTTTATCATCATTCCTACCACACTACCCTTATAGTTTTTTTAATCAAACTATTTTGAGTATGTACTCTTTGAAACATTGAGGATTGTTCTTTGTCTACAGAGAGAGAGAGAGAGAGAGAGAGAGACAGAGAGAGGCAATCGTCACTACTCTGGCATTGTATTCCAGTATCATGCATGAAATATTTTGTTGATCCTAGTGTTTCCATATCATCTCCTTGTCCTATTAATACGGTGGGTGTTGATTATTTTCACATCTCCCTCCCAAAACGAAGTTTTGAAAAAAAATGGCAATTTGCCATTTTAACTTACCATCACCATTTTGCTTTTGCTTTGAAATTCACCAAGTGGAACAGTTCTCCATACACTTTCAGAGACATAGTAGAAGTGAATGGAATGGTATCACTATCTGCCTTGGAAACAGTTATGGCTTCAAAATAACACCCAATTCATAATGAAGTCATGCGTCAAAGCCTGCTTCAAGGAAGCTAGCGAGTACCTTAATGTTATTGGTCGACTCAAAACCATCCATCATCCACAACTCTACCTGCGACAGTTCTGTGATCTTCGAATCTATGTGGCTTCTTAGTAGTGGCACATCCTGTATGGTAATGGAGTAGGCTGAGGTGAGGATTTCTTGATGCTCTAGCAGGGTCATACTGTTATTGAGATAACGATTGTGCGATAGACTTGGTTGATGTACTGCACTGCAGAGGCATTACTGTGTTCTTTTTTATATTACTACTATGCTTATAACACTACTGTAAAAATTCTGATGCAGTTATATCGGATAGTATTTTGTTAGTAGAGAATAGTATTTTGATGATCAAAAACTGTTTCAACCATGCATCTTTGGACTAATGAATGCGATGTCAACTCTGAAAGTGCCTAAAGACTCCCCAGCCACATCCTTCATACTGCCAATTTGTTCTAGTTATTAGTGTATGTTGGCTTGCTAGAGGAATATTCAGGTCAGCCAGACGGTTTTTCCGTGTTCAAAACAGTTGAGGATTTCAGGTGAATGATGCAACATTTTTGATTAAGTTGATTATCACCTAATCCATGTTCTCATTGTTCATGCAAATACTGAGATACGAATTTTTCATATTACATTCTTACTGGAAGTTCCCCGTATGCATGATTTAAAGTGTCTTACATTTGATGGTAAACATGAATGATCCATGCAATGATAGGAAATTGTCATAATTTATACAAATCTAGTCATACAATACAGTAGAAGTAGCAGCCAACACCACCTTTGCCACCATTTCCATCACTATTGTGTTGATCATCACCACACTACCACTTTTGCCTCCCCTACACCGCTGCCACGACTAGTACTTTACAATACCTGCCACCACCAACATACCAGCATTGGTAAAATTGTACCTACTTCTACAACCACATATCTTGTACATCATTAGACACATACAACTGATCCACCCTGCGAATAGCCCCCACATGCGGTGCTGCCACTGGAATTATATTTACAGAAGGAGTTTGTACATTCATCAGCTTGATCTCTATTAAGAGACATGGTATCATCAGGAACTATTTAGTGGAGCTTTGATGCAGGAGAATCTTACAATATTTGTAATTTCACAAGTATCTTACATGCGTTACCCACCAGAACCTTCCAAATCTCTACTGAACAACCCCCCCAACAAAAAAAAAAGGGAAAACTAATGTTTTGTGTCACTCCATTGGATTACTAGTTTCACTAGAACCCTGTGGCAGCACCTAGCTTCAGAAAGCAGAAAAAAATTCTTCCTTGCCTTTTAACCCATAAATCGGAGATATGAGGTTAGAGATGCAGGCAGCACGTATTATTCCAGACAAAATACAATGTCAGCCACCATGATAGGACTTGAGCACAGAAAACCTCACTTGAAGGTAAAAAATCATCCAGCAAGCAGTTTCTTGCCCTCAATGATGCCACTTAATGAATGATCGTAAGCTTAATATGTGTAGCTCACCTTTGTTCAACTGCGTTCAATCAAAGGAAGCTGTTTATTACGTTTAAACACCAAATTGATGAGGCGGCGATAAGTCCATACTTCCTTTTTCTGATCTTTGGCTTCGAGAGAGGAATACAGTTCTTTACAACTTCTGAGGAAATTTCCCTTTCCAAACGCAGTGAGAGCTAGAGCATCAGTGTTCATTTCCACAGCTTCATCAAAAAGTCCCAGTCTTCCCCACGTACTTTTTACTGAAGTCCCATCGAAGCCAAAAGTGCATGCATCAAATAGAATTCCGACAGTGACAATATCAGGTTTCACATATCGAGCACGTAGTTCAGAAAGTACAACTTTCAAACGCTTAAAATCTCTCATCTTCAGATAAGAAAGCAAGATTATGTTTGCAACAGTTACATTCCACGGTACTTTTTCTGATTCCATCTCCTGGACAATGGAATGCATTCCTTTTCGACTCAAAAGACAAGCATGAGAAAGGATGCGCAAACACCACACAAGATCAGTCCTACCAGTATTTGAAGAAAGATCAAGTCCCAAGTCATCTAATTTAGAGAGCATGCGATTCTCAATATAAACTCCAGCCAATTTCCGGATCAATTGCTCCTTTAAAAAGGTTTTTGAGTTCAAAACCCTTCTATAAACTTTCTCCATCTTGTCCAAGATCCCAAAGTAGGCGTATGCCTCAAGCATTGCAATCAATGTTGAAGATTGCAGATCCATTTTCTTTGAAAGGAGAGTTTGATATGTGCTTTCCATCTTTGTGAGCAGCCCAGCTCGTGCAAATTCTTGGATCAGCAAATTATAAGTAACATGGTCAGGTAGACACCCATTGGATTCAATTTCTTTCACACATTGACCCATTTCATCATACATTCTGTGACTACCGTAAGCTTGAATGAGCCCATCGTAGGTTTCTGTATCTGGCTTCAGACCGATCTCCTCCATTCCCTTCATATAACACAAAGCATCTTCAAATCTCCCTTTTCTGGCAAAGCCATGAATTACCGAATTATATATATCCAGAGAAGGTTTAAGCCCATGACTCTTCATTTCTTCAAATCCCACCACTGCTTCTTCTATTAGTCCCTCTTCAACTAATAACCCTATGATCTTCTCATAGTTGAATTCATTAATTCTTGATTTCTCCTTCTTCTTCCACGAGTCAAACACCTGTCCACGATAGTTGAGCCACCAATTCAATGTTATATCCCAGAAAGACCCAATAACAGCTTCCCCTCTAGGTTGATCTCTCAGAAAAAAACAGCAAATCTTAAAGAAATCAAAAACAACTAATCCTAAATTTACCAGTAGATGGGACCTCAATAGAACCTTTTATTCAATCAATTCTATTTGAGGTGATGGTTCCACCTTCACGTCAGCAAAGCAACATATTTTAAAAACTGCAATTTCTCTTCTTTACTTCAATTTCCTTTTACTTTTTCTACCTATTTTTATTTAACAACCCTTAAGCATATACTTTCCATTAATTTTTTCTGGGCAGCCAAAAGAGAGAAAGCTTCCAAGTAACTACATAAGGGAAAAATCTCTGAGCACCCCAGTAACAATTTGCACACAAAGGAACGTACATTCATAATTACACACACACAAGTTGTTTCATACACAAACACATATACGTAGACACTCATGCACAAACCCACACACCAAGCACTCATATGCTGATTAACCCCAAAGCCCAGCATCCTTTTTCAAGAATTTCCAGAAATACAGAGAAAAATAATCAAATGAGTGAAATTATGAGAATCCCACTTCCATATTTGCAGTTTTGTGCTCTAAAAAGGAGTTTTTGAGAATCTCAGTACCTGGAGAACCTCCTTGGTTCTTGAAGTTTGTTTAAGGAATCTGACAACAGCCCAGAATTGTTCTTTGCTCCAATCTCCATCATATTTGAGAATCTGCAGAGGATCTGAATCTCTGTGTCTGAGCTTCTGAAGTAAAGTTCTTTTGAGTCTCTGAATCTGATGGGAAGTCTCAAGAGCAGAGCCAGTTTCTTTAGAGTTGCTGTGGGGTTTTGCAGATGGACATGGTGATGGTTGATGTTGAGATCTCTTCTTCAGGTGAAATGCAGCTGAAGGATTGGTGGAGGAACAAGAGACGATGATGAGTGTTTTTGAGGGTTTGGAGGGTCTTGTCAATAACAGGGTTTTGGAGGTGGTGTTTCTGTAATTGTGTTTGTAGTTAGGGAATCTCCATGTCAGTGCCATTGTGCTGGACATTTCCAATGTGAGCACCATTTCATATAACGCGACTCTTAGTCTAGTCTCCCTTTCTCTTTCTCTCTCTAAAAACGAGCAAGAAAAATAAAAACCTCCCTAGATTAGGCAAAAATACCCCCACAAAAAAAAAAAAAAAGAAGACACATTAAGGGTCGACATTTATTTACTTTATCTAATTTCATAAATTGAGATGAATTTAAGCTTTATCTAATTTTATTAAATAATTTAAATTTTATCCTTATAAAAACTTCTAAAATTAAAATCTCCCCCCTCTTTTGACACGTAACCCAATATTAGACAAATTAAGAACGAATCGAGGTAAAATGAGGTTGTCGGCACAAATTTTATATGGGGTTCTATTAATATTTTATTTATTTAAAAGTATTTTTTATTTTATTAAATGTGAAATATTGATAAAATTTTTATATTTAATTTTGATAATAAATCTTTCTCAATAGATAATATAGTTAATTCATTTAAGATTAGTTGAGCGCAAATAAGATTTTATCAATTAAATTTTTTTTTTGGGAAAAGTATCAACTAAGTTTTGAACAAACAATTTAATAATAAAATATATGAGTAAAGAATAATTTTAATATAACAAAAAATCTTTTTTTACCCACGAGTTATGCGCATGCTTCATGTGCAAAAAATTGATAAAATAGATAATTTAAGCATAAATTATTTGGACTAAAAATTCATATTAAGATAAAAAAGAACTAGTTTTATAAATTTTTACCACAAGAAATAATGTATATAAATTTTTTATGTGAGTGAAAGCAATACAACTATAAACATTCAAATGAGTTAGAAAAACTTAAATAAACGCCACAATGAGTGAGTAATTTTAAACCTGACAAAATTAGATATTGAATTGAACTATTAAAATTTGGATTCTAAAAATTTGAATTATATCTAAAACACAGAAAAAAAAAGCCTATTATACTAAAGGGATAAATTTTGTGGAACCCCTAAAAAATTTGAGCTTAATCAAGTAGAGAGTAATTTTAAATCTAATAAAATTAAATATTAATTTAATCTTTTAAATTTTGGGCCTTAAAAATTTTGAATTATATCTAAAATATATATATTAAAACAAATTAAGCCTATTATTATTATAAGAAATTTTGGAGGCCGGTCCCTCTTTGTGAACGTATTTGGTGATAAGTCCATCAAGAAAACTTGTTTAATATTAAGTCTATTTTAACCTTCATTGTCCAAAATACTCTTAGTAGTTATATGTAATTACAATAAATATAAAAACTAACAACTCTTAAATTTTAGAAGTTTGACTAACATTAAAATTCTATCTCTTATATCTATATAATAAAGTAGAGTTGAGTTTGAATTTTGGAGACAAAAAAAGTTTAGATCGTTTTGAGACAAAACATAAACACATCTAACAGATAACGTAATCCCAACATAAAAGACGGTTCAGATTATCTCAAAAATTTTGATCTAACGGTCTACAGTTAGTCCTGAATTTCTTTACCCGCCCATGAAGAAATCTCTCATCGTAAGACTTTACACTTTTATCTCTCATACGTCTCTATCTCTCTCATACAGACTCTCTCTTCTCAATCCAGATTTAGTAATTCAAATCTTGCTTCTCATAACAGGACTCTACGGTCTACACTCTTTTTTATCTCTCATACGTTTGTTATCTCTCTTAGCTCTTTTCTTAGTATTTCTGTTTCCTGATATCTCTCTTCTCTCTCTTATCCCAATCTCCCTTCTCCAATGTAAATGATGCTTCTGTCACACCCCCACCCCGGATCACATAGGGTGAGTAGCGGACCGGCCACCGATGTCTTAACTAGTCATCCCTGTGCATAATTAATGCAAAATACAGCAGAAGACAAATAATAAAATGATCCTTTTCACCGACCTAATGAATACCAGAGAAATAAACTTACATCACCGACATTATTATTAAACTCATGTAAAACAATAATTAATCCATAAGGTTCACTACTCTAAGCAAAAACAACGTTGTTTTCAAAATAATCGAATACTCGTCTCAAAACTATAAAAAATATTTATTCCTGAAGACCTAAAATAAAATAAATCTTCGATTCTTCTAATCCCTTGTCTATTTGAGGACTTACTTCTCCTCCTGATCCTCACCTGAAAAATGTTAAATATTTGGGTGAGCACAAAAGCCCATGAGTAGCAACCACCTCTATTGAGGTTTGAAAATAAATCTCATATTTCATATACACATAAATAAACTTTGTTATATACATAAATACAATAAATTGTTCCTCAATCCTTTTCACAAAATCATGTAAACAAAATGATCTCACAATCATAATAACTTTATAAAAGAAAAGACATTTATAGCTCAATACACTCACATACACATTCAGTCTCAAATACACTTGTCAAATCATGTTTGTTACCACTAGCTTGGTAATTGGCCTCATCTCTTGTCATCACTAGCCTGATGACTGACTCCTTCTTTTGTTATCACTAGCCTGATAACTGGCCCCTATGTGCACATCCCTATACCGACCACGCCGGTATATAATCTCGTTACCATTTAGACTTGGTAACCCAGTCCCTTTCTCATAAAACTTGATTTCAACACGCACACTAAAACTGTTGTTTTAGTCCCAACGCACCCAAATTTTCTCTTTAATCATCAAAACACATTTAAGCAATGATATAAAATCATCCCTTAAAATTTTCCAAACTTCACAAGTATAACAATTCACAATTGCAAAACATTTAATTGCAACCCAAACATCAACATATATCATATATATCAAAATTTACATACACGCAACCACAGTTTAATATAGAAAATTCTCTCAATAGAAGTAGTAAACTACTCACCTTGATTTTCAAAATCTAATTCAAAGCACTATTTTCCAACCTCAATGCAATCACCACCTAATCCAAAATAACATATAACAATCAATCCTTTTTTCCTAACTTCGTCGTTTCGCGATTCTATATTTGATTTTATACTTCTTATTCATTAATATATACTCAATATATATTTTACATATAAATATCCTTTCTAATATGAGGTAACAGCATATGGAAGTATTCTAGACTGTTTGGAAAAAGTTTCTAAAGTTCTAGGGTCAAATCATCATTTTTAAAATTTTTGGGGTCAAAGTATAATTTCCTTAAAAACGAATTTTTTTGTTTTCGGGTCTGCCATAAATTTTTCAGAATAGTATTTAAGGTTCTAGAGACCCATTTTTCAATAATACCGTCTCAATTTGATTTATTAGAGTAACTATTGATATTTTAATCACTTACTCAAAACTTTTAGGGGGCGTTTCAAAATTTCAAAAATTTTTCAAGACTTGGGGGCTGTTTTGACATAACCATATTTGTTTCAAACATACTGGGTCAATTTTATAAATTAACAAGTTCCATATTAGTTAAAAATTGAGTTTATCAAATTATAGGGATCAAAATAAAACTACTTAAAACTAAGAGGGAGGTTTCCATAATTCAAAACTTTATCTTCTTCACCAGCTGTCTGTAAGCTTCTGGTTTCCTCCTTCTTTGTTTCTTTTTTGCTTTGTTAAACATGAAATCAATTCTTTAAAGGCCTCAAAAAAAAAATCATAAATCTATACTATGTAAAATCAATTCTTTATAACTTCCAATAAAACTCATTTATATATACCTCACTATCCTTCACCATGAACACACACACACACACACACACACACACACACACATATATATATGTACATAAGCTTAATACTTTGTAATTGAATCACTTATAACCTACTAATAATTAATGAATTCATACCTTTGATGAGTTCAGTTCTTCCTTTTTTCTTTTTTGTTCTTCCTTTTACCTTCTCTTTGGCCCTTTCTTTCTTTGTTTTCTCTTTGCTGCCTCCTACTCCTTTCAGCCCAACCATTGATATATATGAAGCAACCTAGGGCAACAAATTTACTTATAGATACTATCTTTATCTCCCTTTAATGTCACTTAAGTCCTTCTAATTTCTTAGAATTATAGTTTTAATCGTAATATATTAGCGTACAACTAATTTTAAATTTTCTAAATAACTTCCTCTCTTTTTATTTATTTATATAAAAAAAAAATCCAAACACATACCTATATCGGGTATTACAGCTTCTCTTTCATTTCCTTTCCCATCTCTTTTCTCTCTTATTTTCCATCTCTTATTGTCATTGTCGGCGCCACCAATAGCAACCAGAACGAAGCAGCCAACGCTATCCCGCCACCCAATAGATACCGCAATGCAAACATTCATCGCCAATAACATTGCAACGCTAACAGGCATAGTGATCCATAGTCGACCTGGTATGCCACCCTTTCCACCCATCTCTCAAGGTTTGTGTTTATATGTGGTATCGTTTGTTTAGGGGTCGGAGTCAGTTTAGTTGATGGAAGATTTGGTTGTAAATTTTGGGTTTATGGCCGGGTAGTACCAATGTTTGGAGATTTTAGGGTTTTTAATTGTTATTTGTTTAAAGTGTAGCACTGTTCTTTGACTGCAAATCTATTTTCTTTCAATGAATTTGTGTTGATTTTGATTCCTCAAGGGATTGCAGAACAATAAGATCTGATAGAATGTTATCCAGAATAAACTATCTCTTCAAATCCAATTTTCATGAAGTCAAATGGCGCAATCGCCTACCTGGAGGTTGAAATCATGTTTTGAAGATAGAGCTTTGATAGGATCTAGGAGACTAAAGGTTTCAAGTGGTTTTCCACAATTCATCCCGAGAAGCGTGCGGCTAACTTCCTGCATCACTTGAACTATATGATCACGACAATCTTGAATTTCATCAATAGAAGCTTCACAAACAATATTGGTTGTTCTAGATTTTGGTCAAAGATGAACTTCACCAACACAGTTGATTGTTGCTATTTTGTTAAAAAGGAAAAAAAAAGGGACCACCACTGATGATTCCTAGACTTCAACATTTTGGTGGAATGGTGGAAGGGAGTGCAATTTTATTGTTGAAATTTTTATTCAATCCAATCTTGAAGTTTCATATAGGGGTCAAAGCTATCGTATGAGGTCAATGCTAGATATTGCAATTTCATTCCCCCAAATTAAT